GTCTGAGGACCTCTCCCCTCTGCTGCCAGTGGGACTAATTCTAGCAGCAGCTCTTAGTCCTCTCTCCTCCATTCTGTTTCTGTGGCTAGGTGAGAAATCTGCCTGTTAGGACTTTTAAAAATGTGTTCTTCTATAGGCTCAAGAGCTATCCCAGGAGGCAAATGCCCAGGCTTGAAGACATTTTTCTAATGACTTGGTAACTTTTCTGATTTGACTCCAGTCCTTATCTCATGCTGTAGACATTTGATACTGAGAAGAAATGTTCTGTGGAGAGAGAAGCATTTCCATGCTAACCATGCTGACCATATTTAGGCAAAGGCCAATGTGTAAGTAAATAGTTAAATAAGGAAATATTTGGATATTTACACTGACAGGACCAAGGGGGAAAATATGAAAGCTCTTGGATAATTCACAAAAACTAGTAAAATAAAAACCATAGATAACTAGGAATGGATGTGAGCAGTGGCCAACAACTCTGAGAGCAAAGTGGCATATAGATGTTTAAATATTATACTGTTTGCTAGCTGTTTTATGCATGTTAATTGTATCTTCTTCTAGACTGGAAGTTCCTGAGAGCCAAGCCTTAGCTCCTACTGCTTCAGTTTCCTTACTGGTGCTTAGAACAAAGCAAAGGTTTAATACATAAATTAAATACTAATGTGTTGACAAACTAAAAGACTACAGCACCAAATCAACTCTAAATAATAATGTCACTGTTAAAAACAGCACTATAACCAGCATTCTATGCGGATAAGATGAATGTTGAAATTCATTCCAACTGTGGCCATGATTAATCATGTATAAGTAATCATGTACAAGTTTAATCATGTATCTTAGGGTAAGTCTACTTCCTCAACGTCTCTTTTCTATTAAGTTACATGCACTGTGATAAGGGCCAAAGAACTTCTTAGCTCATCAAAATCTGTGGTTTGCTTAAAAAAATAAAGTCTGACAGCTTAACAAAAATATAAAATTATGAAGAAGAATTAGAACAATATTTATAAATATCAGTTAACATTATCATATCCTCACATCCATTAGACCAGAGTTTCTATAATTATGAAAGAAAATATTCCTAAATATTGTTTTATAAATTTCATGATGCAGATTAAAAGAAAAACCTCTATGTCATTCAATACTCATTTTAAGTTTAATCTTATTCTACTGTGATAACTAAAAAAGGAATGGCAGATCTTTATGTCAAAAAGAAAACTCTCTCCAAACACACATTAATCAAATGTCATGCCTGTAGCTTCTTTTTAATCCCATAGCTAATGCAGAAAGTCAATAAAAATATAAAGGAATGTGGTATGTGCATTGTAATTAAAATGCACAGTCACAGTATATGAAAAATGTCAATGGTAGAGTGATGCCCCCAAGTGGCATAATGATAAATTGCAATACTCTGGTGGAAAAGTTAGAATAGTATATTCTTTTTGTTTAGTTCTTTGATTAAATCTAAAAGTGCATTTTACGTAATCCTAGATTTCACATGAGCTATTAATAAATGTCCTATGGACCATCTCAGATTCATGGTATACTCTAGTCACTCTAATGGGATACTAAGAGATAGTCTGGTACATAGGGTTAGGATATACTTTCTTTATAATCTCAAAAGATTAGGGGTATGTCTACAAAACAATGAAGGGAGTCAGATCTACCCTGATCTATTAAGGGAATAACATTCATAACATAGAAACATTTCTGGTATTATTTTCTACCCATCTCTGACGCTAACCAATTCCTGTTTGCAGCCTACTATGTAAAGCATAATTTATCTTTTTAATTTTATTTATTTATTCATGAGAGACACACAGAGAGAGGCAGAAACATTGGCAGAGAGAGAAGCAGGGTCCATGCAAGGAACCTGATGTGGGACTAGATTCAAGGACTCCAGGATAACGCCCTGGGCCAAAGGCAGGTGCCCAACCGTTAAGCCACCGAGGTGTCCCTGTGTAAAGCATAATTTAAAATCTTACTAACCAAATTGCTTGGAGAATGGGTGGTGCTAATTAATGTGGTTTTCTCACAGACTGAAGATTCAACTAGTAGCTAAAAGGTCAACATTCTGAGAATCAATTGCTTTTTGAATACAGATACAAAAGAATAGATGACAATAGAATTGTTACAATCTCAAGAAAGATCCTTGAATAAGATTTTAAAATCCCATGCCTGAGATCAGATTTGAAATGTGATTTGAGAGATTTCTCCCTAAAAGTGGAATGCAAAAGAAACACTTTCACTTAATAGAGAGTACAGTTATTGGGTGACTAGATAAAGTTTTATTAGGCTTCCTTTAATTATTCCTTTAACTTGGACTATTAATAAATAAGATGAATCTCAACTGCTATTGAGTAATATCCATAAGGTATATGATAGTCTGTATTTTACACATCTACTTACAATTAAATCTGTCTCTTTATAAATATATCTATTTAGATATTATATACTCTATTATATGTATTTATCTTGATATTTCATATATTTATAGATATCTTATTTAATCCTATTATGATCCTATGAAGTATCATATCCATTTTACAGATGAGAAAACTGAAGCTCAGATTAGGAAACTGCATAACCTTAATCTTATAGTTACGAACAAGACTGGCTTTACATCTTCACCTGTTCATCCTCAAAGCCTGTGGTCTTAACCACGACAAGTTACAGCCTTCCTTCTAGCATTCTAGGATTTTGTGAACAGCCATTGTCATGATTCTTCATGATTTTAGCAGAGAGTTTTAAAATCGATCTAAAATCAAATGTCTAAGGACGGGCAGGGAGTAGAAAGGTGTGATACAGCTGGGTAAAAGAGACAGTGAAGAGTGGCAACACATGGCTAATCACTGGCAACTAATTTAGACTGAAAAAGAAACACTGTTCAGGCCAAACGAAACACATCTGAAGGCTGAATGTAGCCTGTTTGTCATATGTCATAGAGATTCTGATGATGGATTGTTTTTCAAGAGATTCTATGCTAGATTTTCTGGTATCAAGTAATTTGTCAATTATCCTCACTGTTGGGTTCATCCCTCATACCTAGGCTTCATCTGTCATATTCAGCCCAAGTTAGGTGTTTTCAGACTAATAGGGAAAGTACAGGAAAAGTTATTGACAAATCACTTCCCAACCAACCAACCCTTTCCTCTCTATTTCTCTCCTCCTGCCCCAACACCTACACACTTCACTCATCCATCATCTCAAGTCTGAAGCTTTCAAATCTGGTCTTCCTACATCTTATTTTGCATCCCTGTGTTCAACTTTTTAGCCCTCCTATGAATTCCTTTAAGATTTTTCACATTCCTCACTCATTGAAAAAAAAACAAAATCAAATATAGTCTTTATGATGAGGGATAAAAGCAGAAAAACGTTCACCTTTAGCCCAGAAGGCTGACCTACAGCCTGCATAGTTTCAATAAGGATCACATATGTACTGGTTAGTATTATTTAAAGGGTATCATGACTGTTGGTATATCTCCCTGACAGTTAATACTGAGCTGAATGGTAAGCACCAGAGAAATCTTGCAGCAGTAGTTACAAGTGGAAATTCAAAGAAAACATGTATGATCTAATATTCCCTGCATGTCCCACCCCCTTGAACACTAAGCATATAACCACCAGCTTCATACAACAAAAGTGCTGCTCTTTCTGCTCATGGGTCCTATCCCTGTTTTATAATAAAAGCATCTTTTTGCACTGAAAATGTCTCAAGAATTCTTTTTTGACCATTTGCTTGTGGTCCCACATCATATACAATGTGATTTTTACAAGTTCTGGGTCAGATTTAGGTCCTACTCTCAATATTTCCATAAAGGTACTCTAGTAATTTTCAGAAATTTATCATTCTGTCTTACATGGGTGGAAGGGTACCTCTAGGATTTCTGGAATTCTTTTTGATAGGGGTCATGAAGCATGCTCTAAGGATACCAGAGAAGTGCCAGCACTGTTGCCATTGTTCATGTAGGAATTTACTGAAAACTATGAAATTCTGGACATAAAGACCATTTAAAAAGTTGATTTTGAAAATAAAATAGTAGCATCAACATTTACCTTTATAATTTCTATGTAATATTAGAAGTAGAAAATGTAAAAAAAAAAAAGGAGAAAATGTTTATTTATTACATTGATTTTAAATCCAGTGGGCAAAAGCTGAAAGAATTTTTAAAAGCCTCAAAATCTCTGAAAAAAAGAATTATGGGATGGAAATCTGTTCTTCTAGAGTTAAGGACTGATGTCTTATTCATTCCTCCTCTGCTTTGTCTTTTTCCTGTGTTTCTGATGTACAAGTTTTTATTTTAACTCCAATTCCAACTAACTTATCGCTGCAGCAAATTCAAACAACTTAAAGCTAGAAAGGAAGATTCATCCTTATCTGTAACAGACAACAGCATTACAAGTTTTTCTCTACTGTGAAAGTTTAAAGTCCTATCAAAATCAAAGAAAAGGAAGTAACAAGAGGGCCCTCAATATTATTAATGTAATTTTAGATGGGAGCTCCTGCTTGGTTTAAATGCCTAATTTGAGAATTGTAGGACTTCAGACTTGGAAAAACTCCTCCCTAGAAGAAAGCCAAGGAAAATTAATACCATTTTTCCCTTAGTACACCCTATTCACTTCAAGTGTGAATTACCATTTATTTGCATTTCATAACATTTCTAAAATTGCCATCATTATAAACAATTCTTACTTTCTCATTCAAGAAGTCCCAATCAAGTTAAGTGGAAGCAATGTTGTAATTGAGACTCTGGTATGCATAAAAATGTTATTTTCACTTAATCTACCCCATTTCCCATCTCTAGGTCATTTGGGTACTTCACTCACCTGCTGAAATGCCTTTAAAAATCTTATCTTTAGACACCATTCAAGAAGTTTTTCTATCACTTACTAAGTTCTTAGAATCTCAAATGCAAAGAGCAAATGATACTCCATGTTCTTAATGAGCTAAGAGCTATGCATACAGGGCAGCCAACTCAAAATTTGTATGAAGTATTTTTACTTACAATTCCTCTCCTTGTTTTGCTTTCTTGTCTGAAACCAGATAGACAGTCCCAAAACTTCCACTACCAAGTTTTTGTTGAAGCACATATCTTCTTGCAATCAAAGTCTTTGGATAAGTAGAAAGGGCTATTGATTCATTCGCATACTTAGCAGCCTCTTGGAATTTCAGCATGGCTCCCAACAAGAGAGAATTGGTTCATATGCTTACAGAAATTTAATATTCAAGTCTCCTAGAAGATGGCCAAATTCATCCAGGTAGCATCAGTCAATCCCTTAAAAGTGAAAAGTCCAGAGATCAGGCAAGCCTAAAGAATGCTATTGTATTCCTAGCAATATGTAGAAGTTTTTGACAATGATATCTGCAACTTTGAGTAATGGATTCAATGACACCACATTTAGTGACTGAGAGAAAAATGTCAAAAGGTAGAGATACTGGCAGGTTCTAATAGAAGACAGTCTTTCACAGGAAGAGAGCTTTCCCTCATACATCTGAATATGGCAAAACTGAGTTACAGTTAATGTGTTTAAAAGTTATACTCCCCACCTACTTTTTTAAAAAAATCCAAATATAAGAACATTTATTCTAATATTTATTTTGTTGTGCCCGAGATTGCGAATCCGAGAACCACCGAGGAGCCGACACCGATGCAAACACACGAGGGTTTATTTACAAGCTCGAGCCTGGGTCCAAGTACACTGGACACAGCGGAGCAGGGACTTGGACCCCGAGACTAAGAGGCTTAGCAGCTTTTTAGGGGCCAGTGGCCAATGGGATACGCAGAAAGTTGCACAGTCCTGTTGGTTCATACGCAGGTGGCCCATTGAATTACATTTTACCCTAAAGTATCCACTTGAACTGGCCTATCACTGAGCCGGATTACCAATTAGAGTGTGCCCCGGGCTTGACTAGGGTTGGCAGCGCCCTAAGCAATAAGCAGGTCGGCCTATCACTGACCCCATTTCCGATTAGGGTGCGCCCCGGGCTTGACTAGGGTGGGGCAGTGTCCTAAACAGGTCGGCACAAGGCGGGTGCAGCACAAAATGGAGTCAGTCCTGCTCTGCTTGTCCAGGGGTAGGGGATTTTTGTTAAATTTCCTGGGTCCCACAATTTCTTAAAATTTATTTCTTAAAATCTATACATTTGCATCAATCTTTTCATAAGTCTTTCTTCCCACCTTATGTCTGTTTTGATTAACAGTGAATTAGGATCACACTAGAAATTAGCATAGAATTTTTTTCTGTAGATATTAAACCATGGCTTTTGCATTTATTAGAATAGATGTGAAGAGGAACAAAGACTTCAGAATAAATTTTTCCCATCCTAAACCAATTCTGATCTAGTTTCTGAAGTTATTATACACACTGTGTATAGAGTAATCTCTCTGGATTGGAAATAAGTGTCACAAATGCAGTTCAAACCAAAAACTGTGTTTTGATGATAGCTGAGTATACATGTGTTATAATTCCTCAAGGAACTATAAATGTGCAGCAGGATTATGAAAAGTAGGACTGTTTTATATGAGTGTATGCCCAGTAAAATCACTTTTACTTCATCGAAATGTAAAATGTTTTGTTAGTAATCATGAAAAGTGGATTTGTTTAAAATCTATGAAAACATGATTTTAAATTGAAGACAGTCTATGCCTTGGAGTCAAGTTTCCACAACTATAAGACAGAAACTTATCGTGTATAACGATAAAACGAGATGCTACCTGTGTAGTTTGGGGTTCATGACCAACACACTTCGCATGGTGGTGGCAATTACAAATATCCTCAGACTAGAACAAAGCAGTAAATGTGCATTTAGGCATTTTTCTTCTTGAACTAATGCATTAATCAGTTAAGTTTTACCTGATGCCAGTAAGATGTATTCTAGTAAATGGCTTTAAAAAGGGGAAGGGCATGTATGGCTGGCTCAGTTGGCAGAGCACGCCACTCTTGATCTCAGGACTGTGGGTTTGAGCCCCATGTTGGATGTGGAGATTACCTAAAAATAAAATCTAAGAAAAAGGAGGAGGAGAAGAAACCAGTCATCATTGTGTGCTCATAACAATACTAAAACATTAGCATTGTGTCGGAACTTCAGAGCTGAGGCCCATACCTCAAAATCCCTGAATTAATAAAAATTTACGTCATATTATCAAGATCACAGAAAATATCAGTAAAATCTACTACTGAAAAAAATGACTGGAGAGCAGGTCTCCAGATGTGTATTTTGTTTGCTTTCTCTGCTCCCACAAAAGTGATACTTTCTGGCCAAATTAAAATACATGGACTCATAGAGTTTTCAACAGAAAAGAACCCTCCAGATGACCCAGTAATTCTCCTTATATTAGGGATGAGATAAAGGTCCCAATTCAGTGAAGGACAGACTAGTTCTGAGAAGTCCAATTTCCCAGTGGCTCCTGTTTGTAAATGAGCTTAATTTTAAACCCAGCAATGTCATCTAAGCAGTCTGGCCAGGCCCACAGACTACTTTGGAACTAGGTTCCCTTCTGCCAAACTCCCAGACTCGGCCCTGTGAACTTTAATAATCAATTCCACTAATCTCCTCTGTGCAACCACAGAGCTACCCTAGCAGGTCCCGTGTTGTCTAGATTCCAGAACTATCTGTTCCTTTGTCAACGTTCACTCGCCCCTACCTCCTGAAGGTTGTGGATGAAGCTGAGCGCCAGATACACACACCTTCTCTATCTTTGTATCCTTGGCTCCTGTCATATAGTAGTAGGTGGTTCAACAAATTCTGTTAAGGCAAACAGGCGTCCAGCAGACCCACTGTTGCCCAAGGGAGGAAAAAAAAAAAAGTGAGCCTGGTGAGAGGAGGGAAGAGAAGACTTAGAAAGTCGGATGGGAACCGTGAGGAAGGGGAGAGATTACCTCCTGCAAACTGACCTGGCTGGGGGCAAAAGACAAGGGAAGGAGCGTGTTCATCACGGGTTCAAGTCAAGTAGTTCTCTTCCCTGGTCATAATGAGAGGAAGCAGGTCTGACACCGGATTCTGCTTAAGTGGAACACTAACCTTTTTTTTTTTTAATTTTATTTACTTATTCATGAGAGACACACAGAGAGGCAGAGGCACAGGCAGAGAGAGAAGCAGGCTCCATGCAGGGAGCCCGACGTGGGACCCTATCCCGGGGCTCCAGGGTCTCGCCCTGCGCCGAAGGCGGCGCTAAACCGCCGGGCCCCCGGGCTGCCCTAGAACCCTAACCTTAAAGGCAAACCTTAACCTTAAGGTAAAACGAACATTCCCTGCCTCAACTTCTTTTTTAAAAAAATTACATTTTCGCAAAGCGGGCTAACATATACGGAGGCGGCGCCGGCCACGCTTCTGCTCCGGAGGCGGGAGCGGATGTGGGAGGCGAGGAGCCAAGGGAAGCGGAGGGGTCGCGGGCACGGAGGCGCACGGAGGCGCACGGAGGCCCCCGGAGGCCCAGCCCCGCTGGGGCGACCTGCAGCCATCACCGTCCGCGGCTTCGGGGAGCTCGGCGCGCCACGCGGGCCGCCCTTCGCATACCTTTCGGGGCCGAGGGCGGAGGAGCTGCGGCGCCGCGGCGCCAGGCCGTGCCCACGGTCCCACCCGTAATTGGGACGGACGCTGGGCAGGTCTCCCGTAGGTGCAGCAGCCCCGCCGAGCCGCCCGACCTCGGGGCGAGGCTGTTGCGCCCCGTTGCCACGGAGACAGCGTGGGGCATGCTGGGAAGCGGCGGAGAGGCGGCACGGGGCCCGCCCCGAGGCGGAAGTGTGCGCTGACCCAGGTGGGCGGGGAAAGGCGATCAGGTCGGGCCCGCCTGGCTCTCCTAACCTGGCAGCGGCCATCTCGGAGCTGACGTCCCCGCCTGCCCTGAGCGACCTCGCGCCCCGCGGCCCCGGAGCACCTGTGCCCCCGCGCCCTCCGGCTCCACCAGCTTCCTGGACCCGAGCTTTCCCAGTGACGTCATACGCGGAGACTTCCGGTTCCCGCTCCCCAGGTCGGGCCCTCACGTGCGGGCGGTTCCAGCGGCGGCTCCTGCAGTCTTAATGGAAGGGCCGGCCCCCGGGGAGGACGGTGCAGGTGCGCTCTGCCGCTGGCCCGGGTGGCCGGGTATGAGGGCTGTGGTGGAGCGAGGTGTGAAGGCCTGGGTTTGACGACTGGCCTCGAGCCTTCTGTGCGCCTTCCGCCGACCCAGCGCACGTTTGTTCGACTCCGGCGAGGCCCTGTAATCAGCTTAGGAGGAGAGGCCACGGCCTCCGTTCGCAGAAGCTTTACAAGACAGACGTAAATAGATAACTGCTATACCAGATAAGATGCAGAGGAGGGTAGGGCCAAAACTGGGGTGAACTGACGTGGGCGCAAAATGCAGGGGGTGCCCCAGAAGTCTCTAATCAAGATAGACACATTTTTTTTAAAAAAAGATAGATACATTTTAATGCGATATAATTAAAAATCAAAATCAATGCAAAAGAAATCCGGCGTTGATAAAAATCTCATGGTTTTTAAGTAAAGACCGTGCCACGCTGAGCCCTGTTGGAGCGGGAGGCCAAAGGAAAAGCTAGTAACTAACACACACTTTGTGACTCCAGTTAGCCAGAGAGAGCGGTATTCTTGGTCCTGAGCCAGACATGCAATTGCAAGAAGATGGAAAGAACCTCTAGTTAGGGTGAAGCTGGGGAGTTCCTGCATGCATGTAGCAGTAATTTTCCTTACTCAAAACTATATGCCAATTCAGATGGGACTGACCACAAGCCAAGGCCTAAACGAAATTCCCAGACTGATTATCAATTAAGAAAAACTGAATGGGTATCATTGACCCTACACACTTGGGTTAACTGAAGCCCGGTACTCTCTGGTTCGTTAGTTATAAGAGTGAGAGGGTATCATTTTTATAGCTTAGGACTTTTTTTATCTTGACCCCGCAAAAATATTGCTGCAAGGTGATAACTGTTATGTTTCCATATCAGACCCCGCAGTAGGCTCTGTTAGTATGTCAGTAATGGGCTTTACCTGATTTTCTTTTAGAATCAACAGCCTCCACCCTATCCAGAGATTAAACTCCATGAAACCATTGCATTTGTGCCTTGTCACACATGGGGAAAGCAAAAGAGAATGAAAAGGCACTCAGCTAGGTGGTGTTACTTTGAGCATCTAGGTAAGAATTGAGAGGCTAACACCTAATATGTTCTGTTTAAAGAGCTGTTCATAACATTTGCTGTTGGTTTGTGGTGTTGGAAATTAAGACTCGGTCCCCATTAAACAGCATTAGGTGAAAGTGTGTTCTGCTGTTTTAAACAGGCAATTCTTCAGACAGTCATCATGGGTATTCGAGGACTAATGAGCTTTGTGGAAGATCATAGTAATGAGTTCTTCACTGATTTGAAGTTAAGAGACACAAAAATTGTCATTGATGGCTACGCTCTCTTCCACCGGCTTTGCTTCAACTCAAACTTGGAACTTCGGTATGGAGGAGACTATGATTCTTTTGCAGATGTTGCACAAAAATTCTTTGAATCACTGTTGGCTTGTAATATCTGTCCATATGTTGTATTAGATGGAGGATGTGATATTTCCGATAAAAAACTTAAAACTTTAAAGGATCGAGCTAGGGAGAAGATCCAGATGGCTCATTCCCTTTCTGTTGGTGGGGGTGGGTATGTGTGTCCTTTACTCATCCGGGAAGCATTCATACAGGTTTTGATCAAGCTACAAGTGTCTTTTGTCCAGTGCTTCTCAGAGGCAGATCGGGACATTATGACACTGGCTAATCATTGGAATTGCCCTGTGTTATCATCAGATAGTGACTTTTGCATCTTTGACCTAAAATCGGGGTTTTGCCCCTTAAATAGCTTTCAGTGGAGAAATGTGAACACTATTAAAGGCACACAAGACTGCTATATCCCTGCCAAATGCTTTTCCCTTGATGCATTGTGCCATCACTTCAGCAACATGAATAAATCTCTACTACCTCTTTTTGCGGTGCTATGTGGAAACGATCATATTAATCTACCCATCATAGAGACATTCTTAAGTAAAGTGCGTCTTCCTCTTGGAGCTACCAGTTCTAAGGGGAGGAGACACCACCGAGTTCTGGGACTTCTGAATTGGTTATCTCATTTTGCTGACCCTACTGAAGCACTCGATAATGTTCTGAAATATCTCCCAAAAAAGGATCGTGAAAATGTTAAGGAAATTCTCTGCTGTTCCATGGAAGAATACCAGCAATCTCAGGTGGAGCTGCAAGACTTTTTCCAGTATGGTACTTATGCTTGTCCAGCAGCCTTGAATCTGGATTTACCCGAATGGGTATCAGTGGCTTTGGCCAAAGGCCAGCTCTCTCCTTTCATCAGTGATGCTTTGGTGCTAAGACGGACCATTCTGCACACACAGGTAGAAAATATGCAGCAACCAAATGCCCACAGAATATCTCTGCCCATCCGGCAAATCATTTATGGGCTGCTTCTGAATGCTTCTCCACATCTGGAAAATACATCCTGGAATGCATTGCCTTCTCAGCCTCTAGCTTTCAGTGAAGTGGAAAGGATTAATAAAAATATCAAAACATCAACTGTTAATGCAGTAGAACTGCCCAAGGATCATTCTGACTTAAGCAAATTGACTGAGGTAAGTGTTTGCAACACTAATCTAGTATTTGTAAAGTACTTTACAGGTCCTTTCACACATATTATCTCTCAATATAACCAAATGAGGTTGGTTGCTCTATTCCCCCCATTTCATAGCTGAGAAAACTAGGATTCAAAGTGGGGGTTACTATGTAATATCTCAGCCAGAGAGTTGCAGTGCTAGGACTGAAACCCAGGTCTTTTAGTTCCAGATTGCCACTTCCACTCTACTTCAGTAGTCTGTGTTATTTTGCAGTTATTACAACTACTTTGTTGATGCTCAATAAGTTGGGGTTATGTGCCTTTAGAAAAAAAGGAAAAGGATAAAATTCTGAGCTGCAAAACAAAGTGTGCCTGAAGGCATTGATCATAGGCATAACTAATATATTAGACTGCATCAGATTTCAATTAACAAGATTAATACTGATCCTTGGGCCTAATTTTTCATTTTTCTCAATGAGGACCTTTTTTTTTTTAGGATTTAGGTTTATGGGATCATGATAATTAGCTTGATATTGAAAACATGATTCTTAGCATAACTCAGTGTTGTTAAAACCTGAGTAACTCTCAGACCAACCCACTTTTCAAGGTAAAACCATTTTGGATCCCAGTGTTTATTTTGTTGTTTGTAATATTACACAGATATGTTAAAAATTATAAATAGAGAGGGGCACCTATGTGGCTCAGTAGGGTAAGCATCTGCTTCTTGATTTCAGCTCAGGTTATGATCTCAGGATCCTGAGATTGAGCCCCAAGTAGGGCTCTGTGCTGGGCATGGAGCCTGCTCAAGATTCTCTCCCTTGCCCTCTACCTTACCCTCTGCCCCTCCCCACCCCAATGCTCTTACTTGTGCTTGCATTCTCTCAAAAAAAATTATAAATATGAAATTGCTTATGCTAATACAATTAAATTTACAAATTAAATGCATATAAATTTACAATACCAATTGCAGTGCCTATTGAGAGTTTTCTTAAATCCACCTAATATTCAGATTCAGGAAACTTAGCCTAGACCTTTCCTGGTACCAGTTTACTCAGGCATGTAGGACAGCAACCATACCTTCCCAGCAGGTTTGAATCAGGCTTTCCTTTCCTTTGGGAGTTTTTGCAACAGTCTACACTACTGGTTCTCCACTGGAATTATTTTGTTCCCCTACCTCCCACAGGGGACATTTGGCAATGTCAGGAGACACTTTCCATTAGCAGTACGCAGGTTGAGGGGGAAGGGTGTTGGTATTGGCATCTAGTGGGAATAGGCCTAGCATACTGCTAAATATCTTAAAATGCACCAGACAGCGCCACCCCCCGACCCCAAGGCGTTATCAAGCCCCAAATGCAATACCTGACCTACACTGATGAGGGACTAACCTCTTTAATCTCTCTCACTAGTGCCAACTCAGACAGGAGGAAATGAGCTCCACATCAGATGGGTACCAGTGCCTCCTTGGCAATGAGGAATGACTGCTAATGGGAACGGGGTTTCTTTTGGGGGCTGCTGAGATGTTCTGGAATCAGTGATGGTTGCACAAGCTTATAAATTTACTAAAATCACTTTAAAAGGGTGAATTTTATAACGTGTGAATTATATCCCAATTAAAGTCTCACTGGCCGCCTTCCCCTCCTTTTTTGTAACAATTCCATAAACATAGCTTCCAAGCTCCCTGCAAGGGCCATGCCTAATTACAAGTCACTGCACTCAGGGAAGCCCTGTGATATGATGTCCCCATCTGGTGTTTACAGTTCATTTATAGTTCAAATCTAGATTCAATTTTACAAGAGTTATTTTTACCATGTAAGTAACATAGCTAATTTTACATTTCTAGGGTTATAGATTAGAAAGTTGAGCATAGGTCAAATTCCAAATAGAAAGAATTTATGAAACCTTCACCCATACCAATAAAATTGAAATTAGCAACATTTTAAATGATGATGTTTTGTTGAAATTACATTTCTCCTCACAACATAAATGGTGCTATGTGGGAGAGTTTTTAAAACTTTTTTTATGGGTTTATTGAGAAATGAGTACAGTAAAGTGCCCATATTTAAAGCGTAAGCTTTGATGAGTTTGATGTATGTTTACATCTGTGAATCCATCCTGCAATTAAAATAATGAATATATGCATCACTCCTAAAAGTTTCCCCTTGCCTCTTTGCAATTCATCCCTCCCTGAGTATGTACACAAAGAACATAGATGATTGTACAGCTTGATGAATTTTCACCAACTTGACACCTCCATGTAAAGCACACCCAGATGAAGACACATTATCAGTAACCCAACAGCTTTCCCTAATGTCTGGTTCCAGTACCTCCTCTCCCACCTCCTATTATAATCACTATCCAGACCTTTAACAACATTGAATAGTTTTAACTTTTCATATTTTATAAAAATGGAATCATACAGTATGAATTCATCTGGCTTTTTATTCAACACGATGTTTCTGAAATTCCTATCACTGTGAGAAGCTATAGATCATTTATTTCTTATTGCTCTGTATTACATTGTGGGAATATACCACAGTTGATTTTTCCATTTTGCAGGTGATAGACATTTCGGTAGTTAGCAGTTTGGGCAATTATGAATAGTGCTATGAACATTCCAGTGCCTATCATCTATAGATAATATGGACACATTTCTATTGTATATATTACTAGGAGTGGAATTGTTAGAAGATATGCATATGTTCAGTTTACAAGATATATTGCCAAATGGTCTTGCAAGGTGGTTTAACCAGTTAGTATTCCCACCAGCAGATTATGAAGGTTCCTCTTAATTTACACTCATGTGAATACTTAGTGTTTTTTATCCTTAAAAAAATTTTTTTAGCTATTCTGATGGTTGTATAGTGGCATCATTTTAGCCAATTTGGTAGGTGTTAATTGCATTTCTCTAATGACTTATTTGAGCACTTTTTATGTGTCCATTGGCTGTTTCACTATTCTGTTACATAATTTTCTGTTCAAACTCTATTGCTCATTTTCCTATTAGCTTATTTCTATACACACATCTTTTGCCAAATAACATGTGAATAGACTCTCAGATTCCGTAGATTTTCACTCTAGTATGTTTTGATGAACAGAAGTTCTTAATATAGCCCATTTTTTTTAAGATTTTATTTATTCATAAGAGACACAGAGGGAGAGAGGCAGAGACATAGGCAGAAGGAGAAGCAGGCTCCATCCAGGAAGCCAGATGTGGGACTCAATCCTGGGACTCTAGAATCATGCCCTAAGCCAAGGGCAGACACTCAACCATTGAGCTACCCAGGTGTCCCAATATAGTACTATGGTTATCACTTCTGTGACCTACTTAGAAAATTACCATTCGGGATCCCTGAGTGGCGCAGCGGTTTGGCACCTGCCTTTGGCCCAGGGCGCGATCCTGGAGACCCGGGATCAAATCCCATATCGGGCTCCCGGTGCATGGAGCCTGCTTCTCCCTCTGCCTGTGTCTCTGCCTCTCTCTCTCTCTCTCTCTCTGTGACTATCATAAAAATAAATAAATTAAAAAAAAAAAGAAAAAAAAAAGAAAATTACCATTCAAGGTCATGACAGGTTTTTTTTGCCTTTCATATTTAGATCTATGATCTATCTACAACTGATTTTTTGTGTATGGTGTGACATAGGGATAGGGTACTTCTTCATATGAAAGTCCAGTTGAGTCAATGAGTATAGCATGCTGATTATACTCCTTGCTAAGTGGAGAGGACAAGTGTTCTCATCACTTACCTGTATTCAGAGTAAAGTGAAATTCTGTGTGGTGAGATCTTTCAGCTTTCTCTTGGCATAAATTAATCAATTCTGTATTTAGCTCAGTGTTACTAGCTCTAATTAGCCCATAATTCTAAATGGTATCAGGTGCAAATGTGATTCCAAAGACAAATGCAGTATATGAATAGATATTTTATGATAGTTATCTATTCGAGTTAGTAACACTTTATATGCCTTGTGCCAGCTGTTGTAATACAAACTTTTATAGTTATTTAATTTCCACAGTAACCAGATAGGGTAGGGTTTTCATTTTGATTGTTAGTTGCAATGGATAGAGCTCCATTCAAGCTAACCATGAGAGGTTAATCATAAGGAGATGGAAGTGGATTATTCTTTGGGAGTAAGGCAGTGCCACGACCAGTCTCTCCGGGTGTGTCTGTTTCCCTGTGGATTTTCTTCTACAGGCTTGTACTTTCCTTCCCCTTGGGATAAGGGAGAGTTGTTGTCATATGGGATAAAACCTAACCAGATTTAAGGGCTGTGAGCAGACTAGTTCCTCTTTTGTTTGTTTTGTTTTTGTAGTTCCACTTTTGGAAGGGCTAAGAACTAGTGGGTTCCATAAAACATCTTGTGTAATTCATTATAATGCCCATTTACAGATAATCAGAATGACTGTAGAAACACTCAGAAACTTGCCCAGTGCTGTACAGGTAGTGAGAGACAGAACACCTCTAAAGTCAAAGCCCAAACTCTGCTTTGTTCATAAAAGTTGTAACTTGGCTAGGGAATTCAAAACTTTAAGCATTAGATCTCAGAAAAGAATTCCTTAGCTTATGTATTTCCTTAGCTTTACTTGGTATGTTTTCCTACCAGTTGAGATAATAAAGAAGAGTTTGCTTTACTTTATATTTAAGTAAATTAATTGTTACTTCCCATAAGGAGTGATTATACTGTAAAGCATTATAAATATTTCTAATTCTAAAGTTTATCACAATATCAAAATTTTAAAACCAGTGTTTATAAATTATATTTAATACTCTCACACATCAGTGATGAAACTACTTTGCCAATTATGATGTGTTTTATTTCAGGTTAACAGGTCCATTCCCAGCTGTCAACACAACACAATGATTGACTACAAACTCGGTTTTAGATAACGGAGAAATATTTCATCCTTTCAGAAAGTTAAGAAATCCTTTTCTGGCTGCATGCAGACATTAGGAATACAACTGTTTTTTTTTTTTTTTTTTTTTTTTTTTTTTTTCCGTAAAGTTTGATCATAAAAAGTCCTTCTAAAGGTGCCCTTTTAATAGTCCTAATTTCCTTATTTGTAGAAATGTGTGGACTATAAGGTCCCTTATGGTTCTTAAGATTCATTAAGGTAAAGTTAATTCAAGAAGCCTGAAACCCTCATAGCTATTAACTTCCTTTTATTTGAAGTACACTCTAAAGCATGGAGTAAAAGTGAGTATGGAGTTTTATTGTAAACACGATACAGGTAGTCCTTAAATCTTACTATCTCCCTTGAATGTTTCTCTCACCTACAAGCAGCCACCCTGGAATAATCCTTGTGTGGGAAAACAAAGATAATAAAACATTCACCTGGGTAGGGACAAGAGACAGGACCCAAATAGAAGGCTGTATATGCCACAAAGGGTGCATATAATCTATGCCTTCTCGAAGTGATCATGGCATCATGAAGAAGGCAGGGTCTCAATATTCACTGGCAAGTAAGAGTAAGGTTGAATATACATCTTTGTGTCTCAAAGCGGAATAGTTAAAATGCAGATTCCTGGGTTCCTCATATTTACTGAATCAAAATTCAGGGGTTGGGACCTGAGGACTGAATATTTTAATAAGCTTCCCAAGTGATACATGCACTGAAGATGTTCACCAGCCTACATGGAAGATGGAATATCATGAGCAAGGGCTATGTAGTGGGGGTAGACAATATAGCCATTCAACCATATTTATTAAGCACCCAGTGTTTTAAATGCTTTGAATGTTGCTGATTTCTTTCCATAGGAAGATAAGAAACTGACAGACAATTCATTTGCATTGAAGTCTCTTCAGAGTAGGAAAAAAAGAAAAAAACACCAAAGACATTCCCCAAAGTAACTTGCAGGATGTTTGGTATGTATTTTCAGCTCTCGTTGGCCAAACGTCAGATACTTCTGTTAGAAACTCTGAAGGTGAAACAGACCATCCTGGAACCAATCCCTTCTTCATTGAAGCTGCCCATTTCTGTCAGTTGCTATTGGTTGCAGCACACAGAGGGCAAGGCAAAGCTACATCACCTTCAGGCCTTACTGCTAGGGATGCTGATGGGGCCCTTGCATGCCATAATCAACAGCCCTGGTAGGTATCTGGAAATTCCAATATATATCTGCATGTTACTTGCATGTAATCGTAAGTTTAAACAAAGAAATATTCTTGGATTATTTACTCCCATCAGTTATATCCACAACTTAGGAATGGAGGCACCGAAATATCATTCATTCACTGGCAAATATTTTTGAGCACTTCTGTGTGTCAGGCTCTGTGCTGCAGAACTTGATTATAAGGGCACAGCAGTGAAAATGTGCTGCCACTGCCTAATCCCCCGTGCTCTGTGGCACCTAATGCTTTCATCTATGAAGTGTGAATGTGTAATGTGCCAATTACACTCCTATTCCATGTGTCCTATCCCTGTCACTACAGTGGCAACATCATCACTAAAAACTGATTTAGAATTGTCCATTCGTGAAACTTCGGAATACCTACAACCATATCAACATTTGTACTTGTGCTGTTTTTTTTTACTTTTTCTCCACTGTTAAGTTTCAATTAGTGTGTTTGTGATGGTAGAAATAGTAACTTTCCTATTAGAGAAATATACTTTAAGGCAATTTAGATTTATCAGGTGAAGTATTTGACGATGCATTGGAGCACTTCAATTCTCTAGTGGAATTAAAGGATTATGAATGCTGTAACACTTTATCTAGACATGTATAATCATTATCACACTCCAGAGCAGTGATAATATCTAATGGCCATTAGTTATGTGTGGCTATTAACATTAAAACTTCAGCTCCTCCTTGACACCAGCCACGTTTCAAGTGCTCAGTAGCCACATGTGGCTAGAGGAGGCCGAATTGGACAGCAGAGATACAGAACATTCCCATCATCGCTGGAAGTTCTGGTGGGTAATACTACTCTGGAGTTTACTTTTTAAAGTAAGTTAAATGAAAGAGTGAAACAGCATAGATTCCAGGACACCCCAAGTGTGAGAGTAGTTGTCAGAAGGGATAGCCAATTTAAGGCCCACTACTAGTTAAGACACAAGTTTAGGGTATTTCCTCCCATTGAATAATAAATAATGAATGTAGTTTAAGAATATTCTCAAAGAACAAGCCTGTTAGGTGTTTACCTGAGTCCAACAGAAGGGGCACGTCAAGGGTCTGTTTCTTTTCTTTTAGGAATTGTGGACCCCGCACCCAGGCAGGCTCAGTGCCTTGCTGCTCGCTAATTGGTAAAAGGTGGGCCTCCTTTTTATTACTTTCAAGTTGGTCCAGTGTCATTTTGCACCTCCCTGCACAAGCAGACCTGCAGAAACTTACAGCTGAACACACACTACACTCATTTCCTAGGGCTGTTGTTTCTTGCTTCTTCACCTCTACTATGTGAAGTAGATGACTGACCATACTCTCACTGAGTTATGCTTTTGTTTTCCTCTCATAAAGCAGAAGTTAAAGTGTGCTTTAAACACAGAGGCTGTGTAAGTGCACTATAGCATAGAGGCCTCCATGGAAGGAAAGTTAGTGAACAAGAACAGTGAGGAGAATGATATTTAATAGTAATTTGTATTTTTCAGAGAGACAGATTTAGGGCTTGGAGAGTTCAGATGCAGATGTGTTTAAGGTCAGGTGGTAGACCAGGGGAAGAGATGCTGTTTTAAGGAAAAATAAATAATTTGGGGTTGAGTAAGTAAAGTTAGGTTGTCATTAAAAAGGCATTTCAGTATAAATATTTCAGTTTATACAGCAAGGCTTTTACATTGACGTGAAAATAGTAAAGAGCCAGAAGAGAAAAGCAGTTTGGTTATTTAAACTAATTTTTTTTCCTTATGGAATTCAAAGTTCTATATAGAGAGAAAATTACAGGCTATACAGTGTTTTTGGAAATACTGCCCTTGGGTTGTTTCTTTGTCTAGATAAGGAAGATCTGCGGGAGGATGGTGCTAGGATGTTGTATGAAGAGTTCCAAAGAGTGAAGGAGCAGACGCGGCCGGGCACGAGACTGGACTTAGACACAGCTCACATCTTCTGTCAGTGGCAGTGCTGTCTGCAGATGGGGATGTATCTCAATCAGCTGCTGTCCACTCCTCTCCCGGAACCAGACCTAACTCGGTAAGCACCACGGGAAACTAGTTCAGATGGCTGCACACAGAAGTAAATACTTTTATTTATACTTAAAGCATATAAGCTATGTTTAAAAAATTAATCTTAGTGTAATTGGTCTTAGATCACTATTATAGCTGAAGAACTGGAAACAGGAGAAATACTAATTTTTTTCCATATTCTCAAAAAGTTTCTGTGATTAGATCAAAGCTTTTAAAAAGTCCCTTAAAGTAAAAAGCTATAGAACTTGTTCCTTCATTTCTCTCGGGTCTTTGTTCACATATCACTTTATAAGGCTTTTTCTGATTACCCTCCTGGAATACTACTCTCTACTCCAGTCACTCTAGTTCTACTACTCTTGGATTTTTTAATTGCATTTCTTACCACTTGGCATACAGTTCACATACTCATTCAAATATTTATTAAATGCCTACTTTATGCCAGGGTGTAATGAACAAAATATTAAAAAAAAAAATCTGTTGTAATGGAGCTTTTTTTTCTAGTGAGTTGACCACTAAGACACTTCAGTGAACTTTGTCTAGGGTTTTTGTTTTGCCAGGTAAGTATGAAGGGAGAGGCAGCCTGTATGCCAGTAAGTGATTATGTTTGATTATGGAATTGAAGCTGGGTAAGAAAGGAAGGGTAGCAGTAGTGTGTGAGCCAGTGAAAAAGTGCCACATTCAGTGGATTGGGACATCCTGGTGATTGTCTATCCAGGAGATCCTAGAGGGAGGGAGGAAGATAAAGGGGAGATTGTTAGCAAATGGAGCTGAGATTATAGATCTGCTTTGTCTCTCTCTACTTGAATGTGAACACTGTGAGGACAGGGACTTAGCTATTTTATTTACTTTTGTAGCCCTGGTGCCAAACATACAGTAAGTACTTTAATATTTGTCAAATAAATGAGTGATGTATGTATGGAGGCATATAAAATATGCCAGTGTGACTAAATGTTTTAAGGTATAAAGCTTCCTAAGCAGTAAATAGTGTTAATACATCCCTGGGCCTAATATCTGAGCTAACCCTAGAACCTTCTACCAAGTAAGATTAATTGGCCTTTGACCTATGGATTTTTTATGCCTTCCTTAAATAGTTTAGGTGATTCTTGAGTGGATCCTAACTACCACAAATCCCTTTACAACAGAACAGAGAAAAATAAGACCAAATAGTTCTCTTCATAATAACTTCAGCAGGACTATTCTGGTATCTCAGCATTACTCGCGCTTTTTAAATGATGATCTTAACCTGATTAAATGATGGTCCTGCATCAGTTGCTAAGGCACCAGTTGATCATCTGGCATTAAGTTATAAAATTTGTGGCTTCCAGTTAATCTCATCTTCAATTTCTAAAGTAGGTTTTCAGTATGTGTGAGTCAGTGACCTTGCAAAAGATGCCACTAAATTTTCTCATATTTCAAGAGAATGCCTATTTAGTTTATCAAACATATTTAATTCCTTTTCTTTGAAGTGTTAAGAGGTCTGCTCAACTTTGGGCTGGTTGTAGAAGCAGCAAAGCATCTCACATTTAATTTGTTGATGAAAAGTTTTTAGATATCACCAGCCAAGTCTGTAATAACAACTCAGTTCCTTCCTTCAAGGAACAGATTTTTCTTAAGTAATTTTAGTAATAACTCTACAGAAGCAAGAAGAGTTTTCAGTGGTTAGCTGCATTTGTTGAAACCATGTTAATGATCATTGTCTTTGCACTGAACCTATGCTTTACTAACATTTTTCTCTCCTGTTGAACAGACTGTATAGTGGAAGCCTGGTGCATGGACTATGCCGACAGCTGCTAACATCAACTTCTGTAGAGAGTCTCCTGAGCATGTGCCCTGAAGCAAAGCAACTATATGAACATCTGTTTAATGCCACAAGGTCATATGCCCCTGCTGAATTATTCCTACCAAAGGGTAAATCAAATTCAAAAAAAAAAAGGCAAAAGAGACACAGTACCAGCTGGTCAAAAAACAGAGTGGGAACCACCTCAGACACTAGATGCTGGTATGAGGGAAGCAATCGGTTTGGGCTATTAATGGTTGAAAACTTGGAGGAACATATTGAGGTCTCGGAGCTTGAATAAACTCAGTCTGCAACCAGAATTATAATCCTTAAAACTTCTGTTACCTTCCCCTTGAAATGATTAACTATTCAGAATCTGTTAGGGGATAAACATTTTAAGAGGCAACCTTTGAGTCCCAAGGTATTTTGTATTCTGCTTTTAATAAATACAACCTAATTTCAAGAAACTTCTGTATTTTCTTAAACGCACTTAAAAACATGTTTGTACTTCTTACGTTCCATTTCCGGATATTAATAATAAATCTGTAACCTTTCCTTTGCAGCAATTCAGCCAGCTATGTTTCCAAAACGAATAGAAATCTTACTTCAGTTATTTCCTATAAGCAGGAACTGGGTTATTATCATTTCAAAACATTTTTTTCTCAACTGTTTCCTCTTCATCCTTTATTCTGAAAGGTCTGAGGCTTCGGGAGAGAAAAGTGAGGGAACCAGACAGAAAGCAAACACCTTTAAGTACTAGGGAAATGAGACCATAGCAGGCTTGAGGAATACTTTATATGCTCCAGGTTTTTTTTTTTTTTTAATGCTCCAGGTTTTAAAGCAGAAGTTGAAACTGTATGGCTCCAACAAATGAAGCAATAGCATCCTGAGCTCCTAGATAGAGGAAAAGGAGGAAACACTATGAAGAAGTTAGAATATTAGTGATCTATGCAGCAATACCAGAATCTTAGGTCTGAGGGAATTGACCCATTAATGGGATATGAAATTAATGAGTCATAACCAGCATTTTTAAGTGGAAATCATCAGACATGCATATCATATATTAAACGGTTATGCAAAATATATTTCTTATTGTGGATTGCAGTCGAAAGACTTTGAAAGGCACTGCTCTGGAACACACTAGAGGCTGCTAAAATTATAAATACTAACAGAATTGTGAAGGTGCTGGTCAGTTCCAAATAAATAACTTGAAAATAACAAGCAAGTGGAATGAATCTAATTGGGCAAGATCTAGAAGATCTGAAGGTAGATTCCCAGCCTTTGTTTTATTTGCACTCATGCAAATCGTGTTCTTTTCTTGAACTGTACTCTCTCAATGTTATATGCTATATTCCATCAGTGAGAACCCTAAACATGGTTTTAAGCTGCCATGTAAGCTTAAACTGAACAGGCCTATGTTCAGTTCCCAACATCTGGCAGACAAGTCTTTCCACATTCCTAGTGAGAACCATACTAGGGAGTAAGCCCAGCATCACACTTTCCAAGTGCTGACTGGCAAAAACACAATCTTACTTGTTTCTAAAGTTTTCAGCCCTAAAGACTGGCTTCTGTTTCAAATAAAGAGTTCTTGAAATAAGGAAATTTTTGTTTATTTTAGGAGGAGTGCCTGGGGGTCTGTACCAAAGTTCTTTTTATGTTTCTAAAGAGATGGTTATCCCAAAAAAAAAAAAAAATCAATAAAGCAGTCATATGCTCTATTTTTGATATGTGTTTTTCCAACAAATTGTAGATCTAATGGGGACTACCAGCACATTAAGTCCTCTGTTATATAAAAATTCTCTTTTTCTTGATTCCTGCAGTTGGGGGCCAATGTGGAAATTACACCAATATGAGTCTCTTACTTCCTGGCTTTATTATTAACACTGCTTTTACAAACCACCAGCCTCGCATGAAAGATCATTTCTACTTCCACTTTGGCAAGTACCTGGCTTGATAGGCACCAAACTGAAGAGTGTATGGGCTACAAAATTTAATTAAAAGTCAACTGAATTTTATCATTCATCTTTTTTTTTTCATTAAAAGGAGTTTTTCAAGCAAAGGGACCCTCCTTCAGTAGACACTGAAATCAGATTCCTTTCTCTAGCCATTGCAATCAGAGCCATTCACTTGAATTACCCATCCTTTTAGAGATGGAGTTAGAATCTAACAATGCTCATTAACTTTTACTCTGACAATTATGGAGTTACCTCATCCAATTATAGATCTTCTCCTGGATATATAAGTGAGAGGTCATAGGCACTCCAAGGTATCTGAGGGGTTTACCAAAGAAATAGGACATAGTACCTGATCCCCAAAGTCATATTTAGGTAAGCTACTTGGAGAAGACAACACATAATGAAATAACAAGGACATTTTATAAAGCAATCTGTCAGCCACAAAATGGCAAAGTGCAGATTGAATGCTCAATAAAGAGACAGCAGTCACCAGGATGAGGGGAGGTTAAATCACAAGATTCTCAGATTTGGCTCTGAGCTTGGGTTTTACTAGACAGGGATGTAATTCAGAGGAGATCCTTGGGCCATGGAAACACCTCTGTAGAAGGTTACAAATTCCATATTCTATTTGGAAAATTTGTTTCCTATTTTTCACAAGTCTTTAGGTCTTGCTTTTTCTGATTCAATTCTAGCTAATGAAAGCTCACCTGAGGCTTTGGAAATGTAAGTCTCCAATTAGCAGTTTAAGTACCAAAGGGACTCTGGATAGTTTTTTAAAATGAATAAATTTTAGTAATAAAGTTGGACAGAGAAAAACACTACAATACAATCATGTTCTATCTAGTTGTAATAAAGTTACTTGAACTTCATTTAGACAAGCCCTTTTTGAGATACCTAGACCTAGAAAGTTTAATTTATATATCCTGTAACTATAAACTCTAAAGGCTTTTCAAGATGATTGATCATGACAAAAAATTCAAATTAGTTTTAGTATTTAAGTTTAGATTTCTAATTCAAATTATAATTTTAGAAGATAAAGACCTTTCTAAATAGAAAGGTTTTAGGATTATCTTTTCTTTTGTGCATAAAATAATGACTATGCCTCAGTTACCCTATCTGTAACATAGGGGATCAAAGTAGTTCAAATTGTTACATAAAGACAAAATGACATGTACTTTTAAGTTACATCATCCAGTGCCTGGCACTAGAAATATGTAAGGAATGCCAGCCAATACTGTTACAACCACACAAGAGCAAAGCACCCACACCAAGAGCAAAGCAAGGGATCTGAGGAGGAGAGAGAGGGGGCTGGGCAGAAATATCAGACCATGACACCAGTGGTTACTAGAGCTAATGCAGAAATTTTACAGAGACAAGGAGATCAACACCACCAAATATGGGCTAACATGGGAAGGACAAGAATATGAAAACATTAAAACAACTTCAGCAGAGTTAGCTGGCTAAACCACACTAAAAGGCAAAGTGCCTGAGGGGGGACACTTGATGGGATGAGCACTGGGTGTTATTCTGTATGTTGGTAAATTGAACACCAATAAAAATTAATTTATTAAAAAAAATAATAAAAAAAAATAAAAGGCAAAGTGCCAAGAGAATGTGAATAGGCAGCCAAGTTCAACCTTAGAAAATAATGAAAAAAGACCAGAAGGAACTATCCCTGTGGGTATATGCACCTCCTTGTCACTTTTTATTATCAAGGACTCTTCTGTATTGTTTTTAAAATCCAATTGAAGAGCTCTGGGTATGTTTAAACAAAGGAAAAAATTGGGCACCTGGGTGGCTCAGTCGGTTAAGCGTCTGCCTTCAGCTCATGTCATGATCTCCCAGTTCTAGGATGGAGCCCCACATCCTCCCTGCTCAGTGGGAAACCTGATTCTCCCTCTCCCTCTGCCACGTCCCCTGCTTGTGCGCGCGCGCTCTCTCTCTCAAATTATAAAATCTTTTAAAAAATTATTTGAAAAAAAAGGAAAAAATTAGTAGCAGATATAAGACCACTTCCTATGAATTTCCTTTTCCTACAACTGCCAGGGTTATATACTGGCCTTACTCCCATAATCCTAAGGAGGCCAAAGCAAATTTCCCCCTTTAGTGAGCTTTCCAGAGTTCACTGGGTACCACTCTAGCATATGTTATTTGGCTGGCTGGCACACCATCAATCCACGAACAGCACCCAGAAAGTAGTCACCCCCAAGACTAGAAAAAATAATTTCACTTCTGTAAAAAGACAACTCTCATTAGTATCTGACTCCAAACAGATCAACCTTGTATTTTTAGTGAGGTGGATATAGGGTACTTGGTACACTTTTAAGTGTCTTACACATTGATGCATTCAGTCGACAGCTAAAAGTGATTTTGCATCTTGTATCAATTTGAAATTAAATATTTTGGGAAGTAGTTTTAAAAAGATGCCTCCCCACTTTCAGCAACAGCTTTCTAAACCATATACAGTAAGCTGCTTCAGTATTTCTTTCCAGGTCTGAAATTTGCTAAAATCCAAGTTCATCCAAATATAGAAATTCTAAGAGGACCTCATGTTGAGGAACGTTTTCAAATTCAAAGGCATGACTGAACCAGGCCATGTACAGTCTGTTAAGATGGGAAAAACAGATAAATGAAGTAATACATGGAAAAACATTTCCAGCTTGTTTCACTGGATCTAGTTTTCAGGGAGAAAAAAAAAATCAAATTTCACATGAACATGTTGCAATGCACATGCAATCACATCACTTTTATTCCTAACCAGTCTTGATAACATTTTCGGTATCTGGTTAAAATAGCAGAATCTTTCAATATTTATATATTTATGTATATACATATGTGTACGTGTATACACATATGTACATGTATACACACGTATTTTAAATAATCTTCTAATGACTTTGGAGACACTTGGGAGATTTCTGTGTATAATGTATCTCATTGGTCATCAGGATCAGGAAACACCTAGGAATGTTTCAGTTTTTTTAAAAAAAGCTGATCAGAATATATCAACATTGAGTTTTTGATCATTTATGAAAAAATTATGGCATAATGCGAGTTAGCATATAAACTAGGAAAACTCGTCTCTGTGTTTTTAAATATAATTGGTTTTTTGAAGGATTAACTGAGGTGCTGTTTCTTCTTGAAAAACTGCCATGTGTCTATCTGGGCATTACTCTCCCTATATCTTCTTCTGTCTGATTCGTGTGTGTTACACATTATGGGAGAATAAATCAAAGGATGTTGATGGGGATGCCTAGGTGGCTCAGGCTGAGCACCTGGCTCCTGGCTAGGTGTGGCTCAGGGCATGATCCCGTGGTCTCAGGATTGAGTCCCACATCAGGCTCCCTGCCTGGAGCCTGCTTCTCCCTCTGCCTACATCTCTGCCTTTCTCTCTCTTTCATGAATAAATAAAATCTTAAAAAAACAAAAACAAAAACAAAACAAAACAAAGGATGTTGACAGGGAAAACAAAGTCTACTGTCTATTATCTCAATGCTTGCTAACATGGATACAGAATAATAAACTGTATTTCATGATAAAGGAGAGGTTATGTGGATTAATCCACCTGTTGGAAGAACTTGCTGTAATGCGTAAACTCTTTTTTGAGTAAATATTTATCACATCACTCTGAAAAAAAAAATGGAGTTTGTAAATGTGGCATTGAGAATTGCTATGAATTATTGTTAAAATTGCTATGGTGATAACAGCATTTTTATGCCTTCATAAAATACTGGCAGGAACCCTCTGTCTTCAGATTTTCTATTCAGTTGTCATTCATTTCCGTAGGATAAGGTGTAGTTGGAAGTTGGGGAACTTGGGATTCTGTTATGGATATGTTGTTAGATATATCTTTTAGGCACTTAAGTAGAAACATCTGCTGGGCAGCTGGATATGCCTGAAGCCCAGGTTAAAGCCTTTGAGTGTTGAGATTATAAAGTGTTTTCCTCTTCTTCTATTTATTTATTTTTAAAGATTTGAGAGTGCATGAGTGTAAGCGAGCCGGCATAAGTGGGGGGAAAAGGGGCAGAGGGAGAGGAACAAGCAGACTCCCCGCTGAGGTTCAATCCCAGGACCCTGGGATCATGATCTGAGCCCAAGACAGATACTTACCTGACCAAGCCGCCCAGGTGCCCCCCTTTGTCTTCTATTTAAAAACATCTCCAATGAGGGCAGTCCCAGTGGCTCAGCAGTTTAGCACCGTCTTCAGCCCAGGGCCTGATCCTGAAGAGCCGGGATCAAGTCCCACATCAGGCTCCCTACAGGAAGCCTGCTTCTCCCTCTGCCTATGTCTCTGCCTCTCTGTGTCTCTCATGAATAAATAAAATCTTAAAAAAAAAAATCTCCAATGAGTATGTTTTACTATTTTATGACCAGAGAGAGGTAAGAGTTGATGATGCCTCTAGAAAGGATGACATCAAGAGAGCAAGCTTCTGATGTTCCCTTGTCTTGTCCCAAGAAAGTATGGAAAATAAGAGGTAAAAATGGTGGGTTGAGAAGGCCCTTGTTGTTGATATCTGAGAATGGTGATATCCATAAGCCCCAGTTTCAAATCACAAAGTACTGTAGTCCTTCAAGCTCTCATATGTACGTGAACAGTCGTTTTTTTAAGATTTCATTTGTTTGTTTACTTACTTGAGACAGAGAAAGAGCCTGCCTGGAGTGACGGGCAGAAGAGAATGAAGAGATAAAGAATGTCTCAAGCAGACTCTGCACTGAGCGTGGAGCCTGACACGGGGCTCAATCTTATGACCCTGATAACAACCTGAGCCAAAATCAAGAGTGGACGCTCAACCGAGCCACATGGGCACCCCACTAACTTTTTTAAAAGACAAACTAAAGAAACCGACCCTATTATAATAATTATAATTTATGGGCAGCCTGGGTGGCTCAGCGGTTTAGCACCTGCCTTCAGCCCAGGGCCTGATCCTGGAGTCCCAGGATTGAGTCCCGTGTCGGGCTCCCTGCATGGAGCCTGCTTCTCCCTCTGCCTGTGTCTCTGCCTCTCTCTCTTTCTCTGTTTCTCATGAATAAATGAATAAATAAAATATTAAATATAATAATAATTATAATTTCATAAAGTTGTAAGTCTGACAGCCAAGGGTGGTTTGTCAGAGGAATCCACTGAGAAATATTATTGCAATTTTACCTTAGAAGTATAATAAATACTATGCAAATATATTCTGGTTTGGAACATTACGTTCTGAGAAAATACAAGAGTGCATTTTGCCTTAAGATTCTGCTGATAGGATATTCTGGTTTGTACTATTACTAAACTTTGTCTTCCCTAAACAGAATAACATAAACAAGCCTACTCAAATTAAGCTTGTTTCTGTGTTTGTGTTAGGAAGAAACAGCCAATGAGAGAGAGCCCTCATTTCTCTTCTATGTATGATAAGGAGCATAACTCAGATGGGAAAGCAGATCAGAACACTCTACCCATTCATTATAAAAACAAGAAGCCTTGGTGATAAGGTGGAACCAATAACAACTGGCATGTCCTCCCTGTTGATGATAATGTTCTGGGAACAGACTAAGACTCTGACTTCCTCTATATAGGAGCCTTGGGCAGAGACTTAGAGCTGAGTCACTGACATTAAATCTGGTATCAAGTTCATCCATCCCAGAGATAACATCCTGTTGGGACACTGGAAGGTAGAGAAAATTGATGCCACTTCCTGTCTAGTCTACTGAATGCAGTGGATGGGCCTATTTTCCTCTTTTTGAGTATCTATAGGAATAGGCAACCTTTTTCTGTAAAAGGCCAGAAAGTAAATACTTTAGGTTTAGTGAGCCATATGGTCTCTGTTACAACTACTCACTTCTGTTGTGGCATGAAGCAGTGATAAATAATACATAAATGAATGTACATAACTGTGTTCTAATACAACTTTATTTACAAATCCAGCAGCAGACTGATTTACTTTGTCAATCCCCAAATTAAATCAACAGCCCATGTAGGGAAGTATTAAAATGTTTCCCTAATTTGCAACACATCTAACTAAATCATGTGCCATCCAGACCTACTCCATAAATACAGTCATAAATACTAATGCAATCCTATTATATAACCATATTGAATATGAGAAACATGAAAACATAATTCATTTGTAACTCCCTAAAACTGATTTATTAATGCTTAAATATAAAGTTTTTCATGTCTTTCCTATCAAGCAAATAATTTTTACAATCATCTATTTGGATGGGGCCTGCTATAAATGGGCTCCAAGGATAATATTTTGAAAGACCTGGGCAGCCCCGGTGGCACAGCGGTTTAGCGCCGCCTGCAGCCCAGGGTGTGATCCTGGGGGCCCGGGATCAAGTCCCGCATCGGGTTCCCTGCGTGGAGCCTGCTTCTGCCTCTGCCTGTGTCTCTGTGTCTCTATGAATAAATAAATAAATAAAAATCTTTAAAAATATATATATTTTGAAAGACCTGCCTAATAAATTTTTTCGTATCATGCTATTAAGATGCAGATGTGATGAAGAAAAGCATGTTTTCAAGGCATTTTAGTATTTTCTTTATGACCATAAGATGGCACCAAATTGTTATTCAACTAACAAGCACTTTAGCATAAGAAAGGCCTTAATAAAAAATTGTTTTTAATATAATTGAGTGGATTAGTATCTAAAAAAAGAGAGAGAGAGTTGTATTAAAAAACACATTTTGTTTAGAGTTTAAAAGCTCAGAATCCAAAATGGATCTCCAGGTTCATGAAGAACCATTTGTCCAATTTCTGGCACGATGTGCTTTGTTAAGACAGACTATGAGGAATGGATTCTACTTAGAGGGTTACTAAGTAAAACAATGCAATTATTGCTGAAGAAATAATGGTGACAGGACAACCCTGATTTAGATATGAAATGCCGTTCTGCCATGCCTAACAGTCATGGGACCAGCAGAGAAATGTGGGGCTTTGCCCAGAATATGTCAGTTTGGTTACACTTTAAACAAAAAGGGAAAGAAATGGCAAAGTCAGGCATGTACAGTAATCTATCTGCATATGAAACAATGTCTACCTGGGGTAGCTATACCAATGCAGGCAGTTACCACACTCACAATAGCAGGTTTAGGTTAGAAAAGAATTTATAAAGATCAAAACTAATGGTTACTCAAAGTTCCTCCACAAACTTCACCACTTAAATCTATTTTGAACGAAAGGAAACAATTATATCAAATTTCTATCTAGATTTATCAATGCGGTGGCTTGAACTTAAATTTTAATGCTTTCTAAAATAAAATTGCACAACTTAATGCCCAAACTTGTGGATGGATTTATTCTTCATGGTATTTACAAGAAACTGTAACACACACACACACACACACACACACACACACACACACACACACACCTTTACAGTAATCTGGAAAGGCCACGCTGATTGGCTCTTCAGCTGGGTGTTGAAGAACAGGTAAAAATTCTAATTCTCAAAACTGAGGCAGAGGAAAACCGTTTTAAGTTGAAGGAATACTATCCAAAAAGACTTCTAAGTGGATTGTGTTAGAACACTGTGCGGGATATGAGGCTAGAAAGATCCAAGGAAGAATTACGACTAAAATGGAAAAGAAAAAGCAAAACTGCTTTCTATTCTCCTGCCATAAATCTCTCAAGGCAAGCAGCTGCTTTCTAGCGTTAATGTCATTCACTGAGTCCATTTCCACACCCAGCAAACTTCAGTCTAAGCTACCCAGTTCTTTGCTTATTTTCTCTCACCTCTTAAGAAAGTGCCTTACTGCAAATATAAAAAAGATGTGCTCCCAATATTCAGATCAGTGTCTTCCAGTCAGTAATCTTAACAGATTCATCCTGAAAGCTCTGTAACAGAGGAAGCTGAAATCTTACCTTTTCCCCTTGCATTCTGAATGTTTGCTGAACTTTACATTATTATACTAAAAAAACTACTTTCAAAAACTTTCATTCTGTCAAAGCCAAGTTTCCATTCATTTATTGCTTTATTTTTAGCAAAAGGATAATGCCTGTAACAAGAAATTATTTTCCTGCATTATACTTTGTCAGCCATGGCTTTAAGTCATATTGTGCTAAAACCTCATCTAACATGTCCACTGGGAAATCTCAAGGATACCACAGATTTCCATTTCAAATTGACCTGTGTCACATTAAAGGCTGCTCAGCTTCAGTAATTCTCCCAACAGCTCTATTATCTAAGCCAGAAAGCCCAAAACAGGTATTTTCCACATTTTTCTTTTCTCCCACCTGGTCACGTCAATACTATCTCCTAGAAGACAGAAACGCCATGCCTTTCTTTCCATACTGACTACCACAGCTCAATTAGTCCCTCTACCACTTAAGCTTTTACAATTCTCTTCATCAGTCTCCCTATTTTGTCTTTACAATCCACCCTCCAGGCTTCCAAGATAAAAATCCAAACTCACATCACACTCCTAAAATCTTCCAGCATGCTACCACTCAAATGTCTTTACCCTTCACCACTAGGCTCCTGACTATCTGTCCAACCCTTCACATTATATACTTCCTCCCGTAACTGTTTCAAACTCCTTGAGGTTTTCATTTGTTCCTTCCAGCTCTCCACCAACACCTCTATAAAGGCTGTGTAATTGATTGCAATATTCTGCTGCTTCTAGGCTGAAGATTTCTAACTTAAGGTTCAGTTTCAGATGCTACTAGTTCTAGGAAATTTCTCTGACAACCCCTTCCCATGAAGTTGTTTCTCTACTTTGACTACTGTAATTTTTGGGGCAGCATTTACCACTGTGCCCAATATATATCATATTGGTCTCCAGGTTAAGACTCCAGGGTTATACAGGACATATACTTATGTAAGTATAACTACTTACTTATATAAGTATATGTCCTGTATAAAAGAGATCAGAAAGATTACCAATAAGAAAGATATACCTTTTATGGGTATAAAAGGTAAAAAATGTGTTTTAGCATTCTGAGTGTGGTTACTGCTATTACATAAAGCCTGTATATCCTGAAGGGGGGAGGTTTTTTAAGTTGTCTAGTTTCACTTTGTTTCATCTCTGGATGACACTCCCCAAAGGCAAAATATTACCTCTTATTTCTTTATAAATCTAAACCCTACAACAATATTTGCAGTCTATTTTATCTACATTAATATCAAGGACTGGTTAACCATTATCCATTATCAATAATAACCAACTCTGAAAACCAGAAATGAAAATAAGGTTGTTTAACAAGAGTTAATAGTCATATCAAATTCTAAGTTCAAGGAAATCTAATTATGAGGATAATCTGCTTGTCCAGTCACATACCAGTAAGAATTAATATTTAACCACACCATGTCTTAATACGCAAATAAGTTGTTTGGACTGTAACTTAGTCTAAAAAGGCATTTCAAAGAAATACCAATGTCAAGGGAAACGTCCAGTAAAATGTGTGGTGGGGGAATCCCTGGGTGGCGCAGCGGTTTAGTGCCTGCCTTTGGCCCAGGGCGTGATCCTGGAGACCCAGGATCGAATCCCATGTCGGGCTCCCAATGCATGGAGCCTGCTTCTCCCTCTGCCTATGTCTCTGCCTCTCTCTCTCTGTGTGACTATCATAAAAAAAAAAAAAAAGTGTGGTGGATTCATCTTAATGTATACGTATTTTCAAAATAATGTGCAAAGACCACTACTAACTTCCACGAAATAGCTTATTAACAGTTATATTCCTTGCTAACTCTGTTCATGAGCTCTTGAAGGGCAGGAATGCCACCACCATTTTATTCTTAGCAAACTCCAGGTACTAAGTAATAGTTTACTGAAATAACAATTTATCCATCCAAGTTTTTGCTTAAATCATATGTGGAAGTAAAATGCAAATGAACTGCCAAGTGACAAAGAAAGCAAGGTAAAGTTAATTAAGGTTCTTGGGTATGATATTGTTTGCCACCAATTCTTTTCACTGAGAAACTATTTTAAGAATGGCCAATATTCACTTTACTTATGTCCTGTATAAAAGAGATCAGAAAAATTACCAATGAAAAAGATATACCTTTTATGGGTATAAAAGGTAAAAAATGTGTTTTAGCATTCTGAGTGTGGTTACTGCTATTACATAAAGCCTGTATATCCTGAAGGGGGAGGTTTTTTAGGTTGTCTAGTTTTACATTGTTTCATCTCTGGATTGTGCTATCCCCAGCACAAATGTGAGAGAACATGCTGAGCCTTGTTTCTTTGCAACTAGGAATTATCTACCAAGGTAAATTATTTCAAATTCCTTTCTTTTCTTCCCAGATGTTGAATTACTTTGGGACCAAATAACTTCAAAAGGTAGTCTAACAGCAAATAATCAAATAAGTTAGTATTTTAATTAAGGACTCTAGCAAGTCCTAGGGCTAGGAAAAGGGTTAAAAATTTAAAATTCAGATACTAGCATGTTTAAATTATAATAATTTGGATGATATACTATGGAAGATATATATACAAATAATCTAATTTGTTGTTACATTACAGAAAATTGAAACCTGGATGTAGTATATCTGTATTGTACATTTCACTTTTTAAATCACAGATTCTATGCATTATGAATACTGCCTAGTTTCTGTATCTTCTACATCCATAAAATTTTAATGTCAACAGTCCCGACTGGAAGGTAATTAACTTATGAAAAGAAATCATTTTTTTCTTTTGGTTCAAAATCAAATGAAAGGATAGGCACATTTATTTCATACGAGTCATACTCTAAACCTAAAATGGAAAGCAAAAGATTGATATGCACTTAATAACATTTCAAGTCTTTGTAACAGAGGAAAAAATCATACAAAATTTAGGTATGAGACATCACGTCATTAAAGATAAAGTTGACTAGATAACGGTTTCTATGTTCTATCTAATGAGAAAAATGTACATTTGACTATTGAATCTTGAAGGGTAAAGTAGAATAAATTTCAGACATCTCAACTCCTTATACTCAACTGTTTCAATTACAAGGACTCAAAAAATAGGTATTTTTCCTATCATTAATAACAATATTTCAGTGCTAACACTGGCAGGTTAATATCGGTGATAAAAACTAGAGAGTGGTTTATCCTGACAGTTTAAAAAATGGAGAGTAATTATAAAATACAAAACTCAAAAATTTCAAGAAGAAGTAAACATTTAAGAATTTGAAACCCATTTCTGTTTCAAAGAGAAGTATTTAACAGGAAAATGGACTTCTAATTTTGAATTTCTGGCCCAAATTTGCCAGAACAAACAAAAAATAAATTATCTACACCTCACCAAGCTATTATAAAAACTGATGGCATTATATGAGTAAATCCAACTATTTCTCTAGCATGCTCAATGAATCAAAAGAAAAGCAGAGAACAAATAACAGAAGTCCAAGAAGGAACAGGCTCAGGACAGTGCTGCAACCTAAGCCAAAGAAGCTGCAGATACTCAAAGAGCAAGGCCAGTGCAGAGTCTTCCATGTATACCCTGGTTCATAAGCCATCTATTTGAGTTTGGGGCGTTTTTATTCTTTAAGTATAGCATTCTATACCTCCTAAGAAAGATGCTTAAAAATATACATAGAAAGACATTAAGAAAAATAAAATTCAATTATTCAGGTGAGGTACTTGGATTTATATTTAGGGGATGACAAAATGATACTTGACAAAATGTATATTTATATTTAACTCAAAAAAGAGGCATTAACATGTTCATATAATCTGTTATATAAATTTTAGCCCAATCACTCTTAAATACTTTTCATTCTATGACTATGTGTTAATTACAAAAAGGCTACTCTACCTAGAATGCCACTTGATAACCCTGTATTAATATTGTTAGACCAAAGACTCATAACTTAAAAAAAAAAAAAAAAAGGAACCATTTGCACTTACTAAGAAAAGCAAACATTTACTTCAAATTGCAGTATAGGCTTTTCAATCACAAAAAGAAAGAAAAGAACAGTGATCTGACAGTGGTCACATCCTGTGCAAAAAAACTTGATACAAAAACAGTAACACAAGGTGTCTGAGCTGCTTACATTGCAGGGGAAAAAGGAAATACAGTAGCTGAAATATGGCACTACTGGGAATCAACTTCTAAACCAGTAGAATGCCTTTGAAATGATTAAATTTATTTGTGTATTAGTAAGAAAGCCCCACCACCATAAATAGTACAATATTTAAAAATTAAAAAAATTTAATCTATCTAAGATAGATAGTGTATTTGTCTATAGACCTCTTTAAGTGTAGAAGGTGGTTCATGTTTTGCCTTTTTTTTTTAATTAAATAACTGCCCATATGCTTTATAAAGTTCCACTCAATTGCAAAAGCCAATTTAAATCAAGAAATATGTTATCAAAGTTGCATAATTTCATTTGGGACTGCCAGCAGGTTAAAGTCTCAAATCAAGTCTTTAACATGACACTCATTTTTAGTCAATGAAAAGTTAAAAAGTTCTCAAATCTTCATTATCCTCTTGAACTTGCCCTTCTAAATGATCCTCAGACTGCAATTCCTAGTTTGCAAATAAAAGAATGCAATATGCATCATACTTCAAGAAAAGACGACGACGTCGAACTAACATGCTTCTGGATCTTTTCCCTGCTCCTCTCAACCTTCTTTATAATTTCTGCTACTACACATACTGAAGAGGTAAGACCCACAAGAAACAGCAAATCTGCAAGAGAAAATAAGAGATTTCATAGATTTCACTTCATTCATATAATTCTTCATATAATTCTTTGAAACACAGTTGCAAAGCTAATAGCTTACATTTTTCTAGCATTTTAAATATATATATATATATTTTTTAATTTACTCATGAGAAACACATAGAGAGGGGGGCGGGGCAGAGGCACAGGCAGAGGGAGAAGCAGGTTCCATGCAGGGAGCCTGACATGGGACTCGATCCCAGCTCTCCACGATCAGGCCCTGGGCTGAAGGCGGCGCTAAACCGCTGAGCCACCCGGGCTGCCCCTTTTCTAGCATTTTAACCAAGCTTTTAAAATACTTTGTTTCACAACCATTCCAGTAGGTACACAAAATTAGCCTCAGTTTAAAAATGAGTAAAGTTGGGCAGCCCGGGTAGCTTTACAGTTTGGCGCTGCCTTCAGTCCGGGGCCTGATCCTGGAGACCCGGGATCGAGTCCCATGTCGGGCTCCCTGCATGGAGCCTGCTTCTCCCTCTGCCTGTGCCTGTGTCTCTGCCTCTGTGTGTGTGTGTTTGTGTATTCTCATGAATAAATAAAATCTTTAAAAAAATGAGGAAAGTTAGGCTCAAAAATGAATTATGTGAAGTCATATAGCTAGGAAAGGCAGCAGCCAGAAAACTAGAACCTACTTGTTATGACTACTCTCCCTGAACCACAGCTTCATAACCATTAAGTCACGCAAGAGTTGTTTTCTATTTAATAGATTACAGCCTTTTTCATTTTAATTTGATTGAAAAATGCCTATCTAAAGATTACCTAGGAATTTCTATCTATTCCATTTGAGAGCCTAGAAGAACTCATCATTAAAGACCATGTCTTTGGGGCACCTAGGTGGCTCAGTCAGTTAAGTGCTAGACTCTTGGTTTCAGCTCAGATCCTGATCTCATGAGTCATGAGATCGAGCCCCAGTGACGAGCTCTGCGCTCAGCGGGAGTCTGCTTGGATATTATCTCCCTTTGCCCCTTCCCCTACTCATGAGCGCGTGCTCACTCTCTCGCTCTCTCTCTCTCTCTGAAATAAGTAAAACAAATCTTCACAAAACAAAATTAAAAACAAATAAAGATTATATCTTTACAGTACTATACACACTATCTCATTCTTATTCATTGCTTGATAAACTGCAGGTGTCTCCTTAAAACCCCACTTTTTAAAAAGAGGAACAAGTATAAAAATGAATTTAAAAACTGAAATGAAATGATTTCAACTTCAAGGTAAATTGTAACTTACAGCATGCAACAAACACAGTGAGACGGTATAACTTATTTTCATAAATATCCCAATTAACTTAAAAAAACACAAGAATTAAAAGTAGCATTACCACAAAACACATCAGTCCTCACCTTACACAAGATCAATTTTTAAATGTACTGTATCATAATACATTTAATACATACTATGTGAAAGAATAATGTCTGTCTTCCACAGAATATTAATAAAATTTTCTTTTAGGGTCAGGCTGTTATTTTGTAAAATAAGAATGTACAAATTACCAAGTAAAAATACTGAAATATTAGTTTACTGAAATTACAATTTAAAATCTATTTTTTTCTTCATATAAGATTGAAAAGTTATAAACTACAACTACTCTTTAATAAGTTTTCATTTGCTATACTTCAAAAGCAGCAAATACAATCTAACAACTGATAACCAAGAAAAAAATTACCAAAAAAATTAAAGCCTAGAGTTAAGCAAGTGACAACTCCCTAAACTTCTGCAAATGAAAAAACAGAACATTCTTTTTTCAAATCAACTCATTTTTTATCTCACTTTTTAAAAGGAAATTTTTAGTAGAACAAATGCCTTAGAAAATACAATAATTCATCTGAAATATATAAATTATAAAAAGATAACATTTTCTTTACCCAGAATACTTAGGCTCTCGGTCTGAAAAACTTTCTGAAGTGGAGGAAAGTAAATAACTAATAACTGTCCCATGATGGATCCAAGAACTGCGTAGCAAAACATTTTATTACTGCAGAGTCCAATCTCAAATACAGACTTGGTCTGTTGGCAGAGCAAAGAGTTCAATTATTATTCCTTGGTCACTGAAACAGCTTCTTAATTAGCATGATCATCTCCAATTTTTAATAAATTCGATTGAACTCCACAATGGCAGTACCATGAAATCTCTTAATTTTAACTATCATTTTGGAATAAAGATAGAATAAAGGTACAATTTAAAGTAGCTTCTCTTAAGAAAGCTTTCTCTACAAAAGTGATGCTACAATAACAACATCAACAAGAGATCACAGAAAGAAAAGTAACTTCCTTTAACATTCTAAAACATCAAAACTTTATTTGTATGATTATTTTGCTAAATCATTTCTATCTATTAGGGTAAGATAATCTAAAAGCCTTTCTTAAAGAATAGACCTAGTTCTATGTGTACTAAAAATGTAAAACTGCCTTTCATAAAACAAAAAAATGAATACCATAGCTTCTTCAAAACTTAGTCTAAATTAAGAAAGTATTCAGAAAGTTCCAGCATATCAAATGGTAATAGATATAATTGAGGATTTATAAGGTACTCTAGAATTAAAATGAAGAGTCAGGCCTCAAGATGGAACTAGTTTTCAAGAACAATTATGCTCTGAAAAACTACTACTAGGTTCTAGCCCATAGCCCATTATTTTCTATCAAAACACTTTAATCAAGAAAAGGCAATCATATCTTAAGATACAACATGGGAAGAAATGCAAATTTAAAACGTCCTAAGTTCTAACACACTGACAGAAATAATCAAAATACATTAATATGCTCAAAACTGTTCTTGTACTTCTAACAATACTTTCTTCTAATATGAGACTAATACCATCTTAACAGAACCCATGAGGTTTGTCCAATACTCTCAGATAATATTAGCTTGAACCTATCTTAAGGCTACAGATAATAAGAGAATGCAAAGAAGAAAGACCAGGCAATGAGACCTGTGGTTTACTTGGATCTTCTGGTCAAACGTTAAGTCTATCTGCTCAGATGCCCTATCCCTATTATGACACGTTTGTAGGTACATGTTCATAGGAAAGGCTATATCTGGGGCTATATTCTGTGGCAACAAAATCAAGCAAAGCTAAAACCCCATAATCCTTGCCTACCCTACCAGTTGAATTAGTCAGCTAAGATCACCTAAGCTTACCTGGGATCTGGAACTTAGTGCATTGAACATATCAAAAAACACAAAGCATGTGAAGGTCATTGTCGTGTCTCGAGGTGTTATCACATTGTCTCGTAGCTGTCAAGAGGAAAAAATGGTTGTCAGTGGCTGAATTTAATGAAGAAATACTGCATGCTTGTAAAAGATTATTTTTTTCTTAGCTTTAGAATAAAATAACTTTAGTCTAAGATATAAAACATATAAGCTACCTAAATATATATGCCATTTAAGTATGACATTTAAGTAAATCATTAAAGAATAGTTGTAATCTAAATAAAGTAAAAAGTCTTTTACAAACCATATATTGTACATTGAAACAATTTTCTGATGAAATAAAGTAGCAATAGATTCAGATTTTCTAATTTCTCCCCAAATATTTTTTAAAGATTTTATTTATTTTTTCATGAGAGACACAGAGAGAGAGGCAGAGACATAGGCAGAGCAAGAAGAAGACTCCTTGTGGGGAGCCCGATTCGAGACTCAACCTGAGCCAAAGGCAGACGCTCGACCACTGAGCCACCCAGGTGCCCCTCCCCAAATATTAATAGACTCATTTTTTTATTTTACTGTTATGTCTTTGCAGATTTAAACTATTCTAATAAATCAATCAGCAATTTTATTAATAATAAAGACTGAAACCCAACTATTTTTAATGTCTTTGTTATCTTTTCCAAAGAGCTCTCCTAAATTCCCAGGTCTCTGTGTAACACACCAAAATAACTGAGGCCTGTCATACAGAACGCATGCTATTAAGACAGCTTATCCAGTGAGTATACCTCCCGCCAGAAGACAAACAAAGTCCCACAAACAATGATTATTGATGAAACAAGTATTTTAAGTATCAGATTTCTGGTCAAAATGCTGTCCTTCCAGTTGCGTGGAGGTTTACGAATGACATCTTTATCCACTGGCTCTACTCCAAGGCTTCAAAACAAATAGAAAAGTGAATTACTTTAAAGTTTTACGGTTTGGATTTAGCACTTTTACGACCTCATTAACCTCAATTATCCAGGAAATTAAATGTTTTCTTATGGAAACAAAATGTTGAATCGTAAAGAAAAGCTTGGCTATAATTACTCAAAAATAACCAGGGATTGTATCACTCTTCTCTCTTTTACTTCTATTTGGCATAGTTTGATGGGGGATCGAGGGTCAAATTTCAAAAAATTGTCCAATTTCATTTACATATAAGTTTGCTTATTTCAAATATGGCCTTAAATATTAACCTACTGAGTAAACTGTGAAATACCTTTCATGCAAGGAGGTTTTGACTAGGATGATTTATTACGATGGCCATCTACACATATCACTCCATGACTTTTTCTGCTGGAAAGCAACATCTCTAGCCCATCTAAATGCTTAGATCCTTTAATACTTTTCCAAAGTCTCTAAAATTGACAACAGAACCCACTAAACACTAAACTCGGGATTTCTCCATTACATCCCGTTCTTGGAGACAAAAGCTTATTTCCTAAGGACAGGGACTGCACCTATTCCCTGGTCTGTTCTTAACTTAAGAAAGGGCATCCAACATAATGCAAAAGCTCAGATCCATGACACATGAACAACACTCAAAGAGAGTAAATGATATAAGCGCACATCATACAATTTATAACAAACATGTTGCTGCATGAATAGATTTCTAATGCTGTCCATGAATGAAATTTTAAAACTTAATCATCAAGATACCACACCTTCTTTGTTTTTCTTCTAATACATGCATAAAAAAAAAAACAAAACTCTTACCTCTGAGCAGGAGGTCCATCCATAATTATATTGATCCACAAAATTTGCATGGCATTGAGAGGATTAGGAAAGTTCATTAATGTAGCCAATGAGATTAAAGTTAATGCTGCTATACTCCTGTTGGAAAAAAAGAGTCATTTAAAAAAATCTGTCAGCATAGTATAATTCTTACTACTTTAATAATACCACTTCTTCAGTATTTGAAAACTCATTTTACTACCGTGCTTTTAAAGGAAGTCCGTATTTCTGAGTATCCTATGCTTTGTGTGAATATTTTGAAGCCAAAGGTTAATAAAACCTTATAACTACAGCATTTAAATAAAGGATTTCAAGATGTTTAGATAACAGAGGAAGATTTTAAAAATTAAGTTCGAAAAAAAAAATTAAGTTCGAATAGCTGTTACTACATAATAGTTAATAGTTTCAACAATATTTTGGCAACTGTTTTTTGACTCCAGAAAAGCCCTTCTACTTTTGGAAAAAGATACTAAGGAAACCCATGACACTCCTTCCTTAGTTACTTCTGGAGCTAGTAAATAAACCACAAATGTTTACATACTTTGATGATGATAAAGACATCATGTTTTTATCATGCCATTTTTAATTTTAGGATAGAATTAATTTTCATTTTGGAAAATTTACATATGAACAACACTCAGAAGTAGAGCCCAGAGGCTTCTAAGCATTCTGCTTGAATTTTATTTCTCATATAATTTATCTATAAGATCCATGGTGATAAACTCCTTACAAACTTACGTGCTCCACTGGGTGTTATTCTGTATGTTGGTAAATTGAACACCAATAAAAATTAATTTATAAAAAAAAAAAAAGTCAAAAAACAAACTTACGTGCTCAGTTGGAATCTAACAAAATTTTTAATGTTATTATAAATCCCTTTACCCTCTTCAATTGCAGACCTGAAATTCAAAAAAAAAATTAAATGAGACATATTACCACACAAAAATAAAGATTTATCTATCTTACTAACATTCCAGAACTAATTCTGAAAACAAATTTCCAATTGATATACACATATGTCACTAAAATAATCTATTAATTTTCTTCACATGAATAAGACTAGAAAAAAAATACAGGAACATTATTCTGGTAAGGAATGAAAGTCCAGCTTGGGAAGCTCTACCTGAATTAATTTAATTACACAATATTAAAATTCTTATTCTTAAAGATATTTCAACATTAAAATCATACATTCTTTCTACACAAGAGACTATACTACACATTTATAATACTAAAATAGTGATCTTTACCTCTCCAATTTTCTTTTTCTTAAAGGTACAATATGCATGCATGGTAAGGGATTAAACTAATGTATGTCAGGAATTATTGGTAATAAGATATATACGAATTTTAGAATTTAAGCTACCTATTGCTCCTATACAAAATCAGACATGTGCTGTAGCAGAATTATATAGAGAATATAGTTTACAAAGATACTTAAATTCTCATTTGGTTGAATCTAGGAAATTATGTGTTTTTTAAAACAATTTCTCCATTCTTTCAAGATTTTTATATAATTCTAAGAATGGAAAGAAAAAAACCTCTATCCCTGCAAGATTGTGTCAATTCTGAGTTCTGAGCTCCCACATGCTCCACTTTTGGCCACTACAGGTTGATGAAGTATGCCAGGCATATAATTAGCATGAGTCACTGAAATGAGGAAGACTCAGGTTACCTGACAGATGATTATCAGATAACAGATGATTATCAGATATTCAAGTGACTGCCACCTGAACATTGCACAACTGACATGATCAGGTATTACACAAAATCTTAAATCCACTAGAAACCATAGCTGAAGGAGACAAAGTTACTTAAACTTAGTAACTTGTATCACTAACAGTATGGTAAGTGTCCTTATGTCCATAAGGAAATAGGTATGGATGAACTTGATTACTTTTAATACTGATTGTGAGGCCATGCACATGCATATTTCTAATAGCCTGAATTTAACTAGAATAAAGGCCCCATGAAAGTTTACTCCTGTACCACTACACTGATGGCCAGAAAAATGTGACATCTGGCTGGCACTCAGGAAATATTTCCTAAATGAATGACTCTGCCATTTATTATGTCCTTTCTATTCCATACAAATAATTTTCTCAAAAACTATATACTAGGCCATACATAAGATTCATTCATTCTAGTAAAATACAGTTCATCCACTGCTGAATATCCTAATAGACTGAATATCCTAATTCTTTTCCAGTTGAACTCTCTGGAGATGGAGTGCAGAAAAAGATGGGACAAAATTCTCTGATGCACATTCACTGAAATAAAACTTACATTATGGTTTGGAAATCATCATCCACAAGGATCATGTCTGCTGCCTCTTTGCAAACATCTGTGCCAGTCTGACCCATTGCAACTCCAATGTCTGCAGCCTTCAGAGCAACTGCATCATTGACTCCATCTCCTGTCATGGCTACAACCGACCCATTCTTTTGTAGAGACTGGAGTGGGAAGGGAGGATTCTGATAAAAATGTTGCTTCCACAAAGATAAAGGGATCAACAACTCTTCTCTATTTTTTTCACATAATAAAGATTGGAAATAATATGGACCACTGACTTTTCAACAAACTTCAATATATGGAAGTCTTAAGATACAGCTTAGAAAGAGTTGCTATTAATATTCTCATGTGCAAGAGCTATGTCTAAAGTCTAATCTAGAGTTAATTACACAGTGGTACTCAGGGACAATTTTGCCTTGTAGGAAACATTAGGCAATGTCTGAAGATATTTTTTATTATCATGACTTCGGGGTAGGGGTCAGGGACTGCTAAACATCCTATAATGCACAGGACAGCCCCTCACAACAAAGAACCCAGTCCAAAATGTCAAATAGTGTGAAGGTTGAGAAACTCTGAACTAATACAAGGGAGGTCTACGTGATTAAGAATTTAAGCCCTTTAACTAATGGATACTACATCAATTGCTTTGTATATACCTCATTGATTAATATAAATAATGAAATATTTGAAATACTCTTCCCACTCTCCGAACATTTCCTTTTCTTGTTGTATTAAGTTTCTAAGCAATTACTGCTATTTACACTGGGATGATTTGACTATGGACTCCTGTCAGAACATAACGTCTACACTGTTCAACTGTTTAAAGGTTGTGTTGCAGATATTTCACTAACATTTTCTTCTACATCTTCCTTTGCTAACTAAATTAATGCTTCCATTTCAAGCTCAAGAAAACAAAAACAAAAACAAAAAAAACCCACCTTTTTTGTTTCACAGTACTTCCAACTTTAATGCTCTTATCAATATTCCTAAAAATCTAAGTATAATGAAAGACAAGAAGTAGCATTTTGGAGACAGAGATAAAACAATGTGATTCTTAAAGACCCACCTTAATAATTTTCATCTTGTGCCTCGGACTAGCTCTGTAAAACACCGCTACCTGTTAAAATATAGGATACGCTAAAAATCTTCAATGTTAAAAAATATCTGATGCACTTGTAACAATAATTTTTTAAATTATCAGTGTAAATTGTATTTACTTTGTAGAGATCAAGGTTAAGTAATATACCATATGTTTGTTAAGAGACTCATTTCACATGGTCATTTCAAACTTTACCAATGTTATCCGGGGAAATATGTAATCTAAACAAATTATCTAATTTATCCCATGTTTAAGCGCTGAAGAGAAAACAGCCCTATTCTAGAAATGTTTCAGAGATGGATAAAGGAAAAACTCTCTTGCATTTATCTCTTCATCACACTGGCAAACAAAAATGGCCTTTTCCCTTTGTTCTGTCAGGAAAGATAAAGAATAGCTGTTTCTCAATGTCTGTAGAGTCTTTTTGTTGTGGTTTTTTTTTTTTAACAGTGTCAAGTGTCTACTTCTCTTTTGTTCCTGTTAATTCTTTAGATTCTCTTCCACTGTATCTCCAACAGTTTATATGATCTTATCTGTCCAAGCCATGCATTTAATCGCTTTTTCTGATTCCATCTCCTGGGCTACTAATACCCCTTTACTGTGCATCAAAGGCAAGCATCAACAACATCCCCTGTATCCTCCACTTTTCCCCATTGTTTTAACCTCATTTGTCACAAACCAAGGCCATCCCTACAGTCCTCTCAAATAGTACCACTAGGTAAAACTAGACAGGGGTAGGTGTCTTTCATTCTCCCTTCTTTATTCACAAAACTCCAGTTTTGAAAGTCGCATGAGACTATACTTTCTACTAACTGCAGGCATTCACTGCTCTAGGTCGGTCCCCAACGTTTCACAAAATTTTTTTCAGATTTTTTAAACAAATATGACACTGTATTAGTTTGATGTGTACAACAGAGTGATTCGACAATTCTATACATTACATAATGCTCACCCTGATATGTGTAGTTATCAGTCACCATATCACCATTATTATACTACTATTTTCTTTATGCTGTACTTTTCATCCCTGTGACTTATTTAATTAGCTCCTCACTGTCACTTTTCCCAACATTTCCAAGTCATGGTGATTTTAATATCTACATAGTACACCATTCTCTTCCCTACTATACTAGAGGATTAGTTCATACTAAGTTTTCTCTCCTCATACTTTCAATTTATCCCCATCTCCAACCTCAATCTCAACTGACAACCTTGCTTCCCACTTCAGAGGAAACAGAATCAGAAGAAAACTTCCATAATTCCCACCAATACAGTACCTGTATCCAGGCACCATCCCCTCCCTTCTCTTTTATTACAGATGAACTGAATATGCTCCCAGTGTAGGGCAAATATTCTACCTTCTGACCTACTTAAAATCATTGCTCCAGAAATCCTCCTCCTTCTGATATCAAAATCTTTTCCTCACTGTTGCATCTTTACCATCAGTAAATAACATGCTGTGATTTCTTCCATTTAGATAAAACAAAACTAAAACCTTTCCTTCTGACTTCAGCTGCCACCCTTTTCTCCTCTTTATAGCAAAACTCCTCTGTACTTGCAGTCTCCCGTTTCTCTCTTCTCATTCTTTGCTGAATCTATTAAAATTGGGCCGTTGCCTTCACACTGCCCTGAAACTCCTATTCAAGATTACCAAAGACTTCTCACACTGCTAACACTAACGGTCATTCTTCTTCTGACTTAACCTTTCAGCAGCAGCCTAACATAGATGGCAATTCCCTCCTCCTGAAACACTTTTTTCACTTGGCTCCCCTGACTACCCTATATACTCTTCTGGTCTTCCTTCTACCTTTCCGGCTACTCCTCTTCCGTAGGTTCCTCCAGACCTCCCTAGAGTCTGAATGTTAGAATATTCCACAACTTAGTTCTTAAATTTCCCTATGTAAGAGGTCTAAGAATCCCCTACTTTCTCCGTAGGTGATCTCATCCAGCCTTATAGATTTATTTTTATGCATTTTTGTCCCCAGCCTCAATATCTCTTCTAAAATCCAGACCAATGAAATTAATCCAACTACTTTTTCCACTTTTCCTCTTGGAATTCTAAGACTTAAAACTATCACAAACTGAACCCTTGTTATTTCCCAAAATACATGCTCCTTCATATCCTCTGCTAATGATAAATACATCCTCGTAGTCACTCAGACCCTATATTTTGGAAGCCATCCTTGATTCCTCCTTTTCTGTCAGATGCCACAAGTAGTTTAACAGCAAATCTTATTGGCTCCATCCTCAAATAAATCCAGAATTTGACCTCCTTACTCTAAACCCATGGGGCCAATAACTGATTTTCTTATTTATGCCCTTGCTTCCTGTGCAGTTTCTTCTTCACACAGTGACCATAATCAAACTGTTAAAACCCAAGGCAGATTATATCTGTCCTCTGCTCAAAACCTTCCAATGACTTCCTATCTCCCTCAGAATGAATGTCAAAGTTGATTACTACCTACCAAGTCCTCAATGAAGTGCATGCCTCTTCTTCCTCATTTGTCACCCAAACTACACCTATGCCGTCCTCCTCATCGTTCCTGAAACAAACCATGCACACTCACCTCAATGTCTTTACCTTTATGCTCCCTCTGTCTGGAGTGTTCTTTCCTCAGATATTATATGGCCTGCCAGTGAGGCCATTTCTAGTCATGTTATCTAAAAATTTCAATCTACCTCTTCAGTCATTCATCTCTCTCTTCCCTGCTTTTGTTGGTGGTCATTAGCACTTATCTGACATAATGTTATATATATATGTGGTTATCTTAAATTATAAGCTCCATTGAAGGCAGAGATTTTTGCTTCATACCTTCAGTCCTCTATAAATACAAAATGAATTAATCATTGAATGACTCTTAGTACCATCACAGACTGCTCAAAGATTCTCTCCCAATTTTAATAAAGGTCTAAAATAAATGAGGATCATTTTCTTAGGCAAAAGGCTCAATTTACCTGTAATATCACATTTCTACATATGCCTAGGTCTTCTAAGTACCATGAATCACATAATTCATATTTGGAGAACATATTTCCTATAAAAAAATTCAAAAATTTACTCAGACTCTTTAGTGTGTCTTTAAAAAAGACTCAGCTACATACTCATTGAAAGTATCCTACTTAAATGGGATGCCTGGGTGGCTCAGCAGTTAAGTGTCTGCCTTCCTCTCAGGGCATGATCCTGGAGTCCCAGGATCGAGTCCCACATTGGGCTCCCTGCATGAAGCCTGCTTCTCCTTCTGCCTGTGCCTCTGCCTCTATCTCTCTCTGTGTCTCTCATAAATAAATAAAATCTATAAAGAAAAAGGAAGTATACTAGTTATTTTTAAGTGAAAATTCTACATTACTGCAGAAATTAATCATGTAGTACACAGTGAAGTACAAGAGTGTTTAGAAAAGATTGTAGATTTTACAGAATATTTAAGTAAAAGGCTAATTCCAATACTCAGGTTGAACAGAGTAAAATTTTGCCTTTAGGCCACTGCAAATCATTTCAAATCATTCCATTGTAACCACTGTGGGTTATCACTGACAGCGGCAGTGAAGATGTAACTGTTGGACTGAAAGCATATTTCTTTTATAATAAATTACTTGACATGCATCCAATAAACCTACCATTTGATATAAGATTTTAGCATTTCAAAGCTTTGATGGCAACTCAAAAAAAGGAGTAGCAGTTTTCAGACTAAGCAGATCTCAATGCAAAACTGAAAACTCACTTCGTGTTTTGCATGTAGTACACAGTGAAATTTGTTCTTAAAGCACCAGAAGGGCAGGTCAATCTCCTTAGTTGACTAAAAATACTAGATTTAGTGACACAAAATTATGGCCTAAATAAATGAGATTTAAAACAAAACAGGGATCCCTGGGTGGTGCAGCGGTTTGGCGCCTGCCTTTGGCCCAGGGCGCTATCCTGGAGACCCGGGATCGAATCCCACATCGGGCTCCCGGTGCATGTAGCCTGCTTCTCCCTCTGCCTGTGTCTCTGCCTCTCTCTCTCTCTGTGACTATCATAAATAAATAAAAATTAAAAACAAAAAAAAAACAGAAAGGACTAGCAATTGAGCTACATCACTGTATCACAGAGCTAGGATTAATTAGGAGTAACTCAATTTCCTCTATTCGTAATCTTTTCGCCTTTATATCTATTTCTCTACCTGGAAAAAAGTACCAATTAAAGGTAAAAACACACAATAAAATCACTGTAGTTTGGGAAAAAGAAGGGAGAAGACAGGATGGTAAAAGGACAGTGGAAAAGAAGTCATGTCAGAAAAGGAGAGAGTTTAAGGAATAATATGGGAGGGTAGCCCTGGTGGCCCAGCAGTTTAGCGCCACTTTCAGCCCAGGTCCTGATCCTGGAGACCCGGGATCGAGTCCCACGTCAGGCTCCCTGCACGGAGCCGCTTCTCCCTCTGTCTGTGTCTCTGCCTCTCTCTCTGTGTGTCTGTCGTAAATAAGTTAAAAATCTTAAAAAAAAAAAAAAAAAGGAAGAATATGGGAGAGAAAGATGAAAATCATCAAAAGGAGGGGGGAAAATCTATGTATTTTTCTCTTTTATATTTGTGGTTAGCATTCAGAGTTTTCCTGATCAACACGAACAGACAAGGGTGTTAAGAAGTCATAAAAAGAAGAAAACAGGAAAATATTAAAGGAAAGGTTAATAAAAAATGTTCTTGGCATTGAAATAACCTGCTAGAGTTACCCTAATCTTCCCGAAAAGATAAAAAGATACCTGATGCACTGAAGAAGAAAGGGGTGACAAAATATAACCTATCAAAATTTAAACAGCAGACTGATTGGGATTATATTACAGAAATTTGTTTAATAAGTTTGTTAGAAATACAAATAGAGGTACTATTATAAAAAACAAAGAACAAAAGAGGATGTCCACTTTAATCATTGGGAAATATACGACACACAGGGAAGAAATCATAAACAAAAACATTAAGAACTCCCAGGTTGATTTTTTTTAACATTTTATTTATTTATTTGAGACAGGGAGCACAAGTGGGGAGGAGGGG